GAGGGGGGAAGGGATTGTTAGTAATACGGACTACAATACTACAATACCCTGTCAGGTCGACCTCCACGTGCTCCCCTCTGGAAACCATCGTGCTAAATCCCAGGTCTATCCATTACGATGGGCTACCTGACCTGCCTTTGTATTCTCACCTGTCATCCTTCACTGGTGCCCCGCCCAATGTATACCGTTAGCACGGGCGGGGTTACCATTCCATTTTCACCCATAAAAAAAACTATGATGTAGACGGAAACTGAAATAAATATCATCAATGTTAATATCATGCCTTAACCACGTGTTAAGGCATGGGTATTAACATTAGTAATTATTTTATTGTTAAAAAAATATTTAAAAAGAATTAATTTGTAATAAATAATAAATTTTTTATTTAATTGATCATAAATTAGGCGGTAAAGCGGATAATGGGCACACGTTTGATGACACCTGCTATGTATGGCACACAGACATGTCTTCTTGAATTTTCAACCGACTTCAAAGAAGAGGTTCTAAATTCAGTTATACTTTTTTATATTTGTTATCTCACAACTGTATCAGGTATGAACCGATTTAGAAAAGTCTGTTTTTTATTTGAAAGGATATACTTACTTAATTATTAAATCAAGAAGTTTAGTTTTTAAATTAAAATAATTGATTTTGCCATAATTAAAGACAGTTTTTAGGAACACAATCCAAAATTTGAAAATTTATATCAATGAGTAATTACTCCTAATAATATCTCTCCCCTATAATACTTGTATGTACGAACCAAAATCCATAGAACATGTTACAATTTATTATTTACAGCATAAATCCTTTAAATGAAAACAGCAAATTAATAATTGGCGTACTAATATTTAGTTAAAATAAAATAATCCGTTGCTATTTTTTTTATGCAACTTAGAATTACATACACGCTAACGGTCCACCTGATGGAAAGTAGTAACCGTCGCCTATAGACATGAGCAGTACCATGGACATAACAGAGTACACTGTTTCGTCCATGATACCCCCATGCGTTGCCATTCCTGAGGACTCAGGTGTTATTCCTCTGTACCCAGTAAATTCACGCCATATCCCACCCTTCAAACCGAAACACAGCCATGGAAACAACTGCTTCACGGTTGAAACACGAATGGGACAGAGGTACTCAAGCAATTGACTTTTGTACAAAGTCTCCCTCTGGTAACTTTGGTGTGATATGAATATATTAAAATAGGTATTTTAGTTTTATTATAATAACATAAAATCTTTTTTGTAATTAACAAGTCAAAGAACTGTGTACCTACCCAATAAAAATACTTTATTACTGTAACCACAGTTATTTTTAATTGCGTTATAAAAAATATGTTGTTTATTATGAATGAATTATGTTTCAATAATATACATTTTTTTTTTATTAATGAGTTCAAATAACGTGTTTAGATCGATATGTAGGTACTTCTAATGTAGTAGAATAACAAGACATTGTTTTTAATTATACTTAATTGAAGATGGTTCATCTAATAACATTTTTTTTTTCTAATAAATAATTTCTATATATCATTTAACTTCCGTTTCAGAAACACGTGATGATTACATTTTGGCACTGTTCAAACGTGATTAGGTTTTATCTGTTACAGTCACGTGTAGGTATGTGTTTTAGATAAAACATTAGCAGATTCTCGTGTGTTCGTCTACGTAACGAGAATTTGGTAACACTGTTAGACTTTGAACAGTTGTTCAAACGGCCAGACAAATTTCAGAAACAAACCCTTTCTAAACTGATTGGCGCATGGACGACTGGAGAAATCCAGTATGTTATAGTCTTCGATCGAGTCATTTAATTTCTAATACAGAGTTTTCTAAATTGATACATGTATCTATATTCGGTTAACCGTCCATTGTTGATCATAGGCTTCCTCCTATTGACGAGATTTGCCAAGAATTGCCACCCTTGATAGGCAGGTTGGTAATCGCAGTTAGGCTTTGGCGATATTTTAAGAGAGACGTTCCTGCCCATCCTTTGACCATTAGGTGCCCTTAGTCGTCTCATACAACACGGGAAAGGATTGGATGGCCCATTCTATGTTGGGACACGACGATAATATATAATAGACGTTTCAGGAAATGTGGATTCTACGATAGATATGTTTTCTTGTAGTCTTCGATCAACGTACGGTCGAATAATTTTCAAAACAAACTTTTTTTTAATTGACTCATATGTGGATATCCTACGGTAATAAAGAAATGGTTGATTTAATCAAAAGTTTTATGAATAATTCCTATTAATATAATACAGTAAATTCAAAATTTGTAATTTCGAATGGCTGAATGTTTATTACTCTTTCACGAAAAAACTATTTAATGGATTTGAATATTTGGTACATTTATAGGTTATATTATAATTAGGATACTGTATAGTTAATTCACACGATTGAAGCTACGAGATACAACTTAGTATAAAGCTCTAAACTTTGAACTTCAAATTTGTTAGTAAATTGATTAAAGAGTATTTAATTTTCTCTGCAGTAGTCCGTATTATATAGTCTTATAAATATTGAACTGAACTATTTAAAAAAAAATCAATAGGTTGGGATTCTCAATTCGTCTCTATTTTATATGTGTATGTATATGTGATATCTTTACTAATTCTGATTTACGAGTTATTTTAAAATCTGCAAGTGTTTATTCTAAAATCAAATGCCATATTTAATGATAACTTAGAAAAATTCTTTTTATTTTTTACCTATGTCTAGGTAAGTAACTACTTTTAGATTTTCTTGCCTTATGCACTAGATAGAAAGAGACAGCAACATCCGGAGTCCTATTCTTTCTCGTGAGTTTGGTGACGAAAACATATCTACCGATATAATAAAATTAAATAGATTTGTTTATTGTAAGGCAATGGAAGGAGTGTAGGATGAAGACAGGACTTGTAATAACGATCTCTACATACATACCTGTATTTCATATTGACATTCAGAGGGAGACTTTGTACAAAAGTCGATTGCTTGGGTACCTCTGTCCCATTCGTGTTTCAACCGTAAAGCAGTTGTGTTTGCATGGCTGTGTTTCGGATATGGCGTGAATTTACTGGGTACGGAGGAATAACACCTGAGTCCTCAGAATGGCAACGAATGGGGGGTATCATGGGCGAAACAGTAGGTATACTCTGTTATGTCCATGGTACTGCTCATGTTTATAGGCGACGGTTACCACTTTCCATCAGGTGGGCCGTCAGCTTGTTTGCCATTCTGTTGTATAAAAAAAAAATTTCATTCGTAGTGTCAGTGGGAGGCGTTTATTTTTCCATGAGCTCCGGACTCGAGAAAGGTGCGATCTTTGACCGGCCACGTCTCGTGACCCGGACGGCGATAACGGCTATCACTTCAAGTGCAGCACGGTTACAATAATTATGTTTCAGTTATCGTACCATTGAACAAGCTCCGCAGACCTTCTAGAGCTTTGATATTAGTCTGCACAAATAGAAATGATCATTTTAAAATTAATTATCCAGGAAGGACGGAACATTTGCCTTCCAAATATCCACCTTACTTGAATCATAATATGATTTACTTTGTATAATCCATCCACGTATATGTACTAGTCTGTTAATATTATATCTTCGGCGCATGAGGGCTATTAAACTTGACGAGTTATGCAAAATAAATTGTATAGGCACCTATATGTATTGTAAAGTGAGCTTTTTGAACCCCTTGAACCCCCCAGGTTACTGCTACGTGTTCTAGTACTACAAAGGAAAGGTGAAGAGACTGCCAATTTAGTTATATTTAAATATATATATATATATATATATATATATATATATATATATATATATATATATATATATATATATATATGTGTGTGTGTGTGTGTGTGTGTGTGTACTATAATAACAATATAATACTAACTTTCGACCTAAAGGAGTTACTTCGTAAAGGAGTTAGAAATAGGCCACTTCTAGATGGTATTCCAGGATAAAACATACACCAGCTTTTAAGTTAGATCTTCAGGATTATATGTTTGAAAACCGCATCCAATTTGATGCAGTAGTTTTTATGTGATGCCGGAACATGTGTCCCAATACGCTCACCCAAGAAAACTTCATTATTATTAGTGTCGTATTTGATATTTTATTATCTATGTAACTAAACTAGGAACATAGGGTCAATACTTACACGGTACATTCAACTATTAAATTAGTAAGTGAGGCTAATATTTTTTTGTCATTTTTGAATTTTTGATTCCCAAAAAATCAGTCCCAATAATCATTATCATCATCATCATATCAGCCGTTAACTGTCCACTGCTGAACATAGGCCTCGCCTATAAGGGAGAGGTTTGCCAGTAGTTGCCACGCTTGACAGGCAGGTTGGCAACTGAAGTTAGGCTTTTGGTGATGTTTTAAACGGGATACAGCTGCCCAAACAAAATATAATTATGAAAGAATCAATATAAATATAACCTTCCTGTTCCGTGGCTGTCGTAAGGGAATTTAGTGATCGAAGAATGAGCAAACAGCGTTCTCTTAAAACATTACCGAGGCCTAACTGTGGTTGCTAACCCGGCCGCCAAGCGTGGCAACTATTGACAGAATCCCCCTTATAGGAGAAACCAGTAGTGGACACTTAACGGCTGTTATAATAATGATAAAATTTAAATATGTATTGTTTGATAATAATAAAAATGACTAATGTGAAATTTATCAGTGCTTATTCAAGTGTCAGTTTTCCAATGAAAGATACGAGTACATATAAGATAGGATACGAATTTATAAGATAACAATATTGTTATGCACTGTTATTTTATCATTAAGACCTTTTGACATGAGCTATTTACTAATGTCAATAATCATCGATTCATTTCATTATGCATTGCAAGGAGCGGAATAATATCTACAAGTAAGTAATTATAAATATTGTTTTGCTTGCTTAGCTATTCGTATAGAAATATGAGCATGAGCATAGTAACTGCTTCTAATTAACATATTAATTAATTATATTAAAATAAAAAAAGTAAAATTATTTATACTTATTTATTTTTATTACTATTTGAGAATTATAATAAAATCTACAATATATTTGGTAGGTTTGTAGGTACATAATGTCTACTTAGTAGTTACAAACGAGTCACACCGTGCCCCGACCGTCCCGTAGGCACAAAGTCCATTCGCTTCCCCCCGGACAGGGGACAATTAGCGATTGTATCACTCACAAAGGAGAATATCTCCCACTCACGCACTCTTCAGGTACTGAGTGTCTTAATAAATAAATCCTAAGCTGTACAAAAGTCGAGTTTTCACAGCGGTACATTTGGTGGTGTTTTGCACGGCTCAGGAGGCGGTAACCGCCGCTGTTCTGGTAGACGAGATTGATAATATGCGCAATAAGGCAAAGGATCCCAGAAAGCAAAGAGAGCTTCACGTGTATCTAGCACCGTATCTAGGAGTTTACCCATGGTGGCTCTGTGCCCACAGCGAGATGGGGCTTGACACAAATACGGCAATGATACACCGACCCGTGCTCCAATGGCCACTAGTCTACTATTATGTCCATTAGTAGTATGTTCTTCGCGAACCAGTCTAAATGAGACATGTCCAGTCATTGATCTCGCTGGTGCGAGATTTGAAACGAATCGCTGCACCCAAGCATCCGCTTCTTCATCCTTCTGTGGCACTAATCCTTTCCTGGCCGAGTCAACGCGGCACGTTACATTATTAACAGCTCGTGACTCCTTCAATGTAGTGCACGTTATAATTTTTTCTCCTTTTGGCTCCCTCAAAATTACCCAAGGCTTTTCCAGACTTATTTCGCGAGGGAATCTAAACTGTGTCCTATCTTCTGGCATGACGAAACGTAGGCGGTCCCTTGCACCACGAGCACCGGCGCTAACGATGTAGTGTCGACCTTCTTTTGATGCCCCGCTGTCATACCACGCTCGAACATCTTCATCACAAACTACAACCCAGAATTGTGGTGTCGGCAGACCAGCAGCGCGACACACCCTCATCAGCTCTAAGGGATCGTCTAAAGTAACAACATCACGAGCACACGGTATAAAGCACTGACAGCCGACTAATTCCAAATGTGGTTTCGCAAGAGCGTCGTAGTAAGCCGGAGTTGTTGAGCTGACTGGAATATAGAATACGACAGATTCCCTTTCAGCAATTTCTTTCAAAGCTCTTGCATACGCGAGTGGATCTGCTGGGTTAGGTCTTGGAACCGTGTAGAACTTGTTAACAGCCGCGGAATATTTCAGTAATGAAAAATGTCCCTCTATTTCAAAAGCAACGACTCTGGCACCGGCCGAATGAAAGTTCCTGGCTAGGTGTAAAGCTTGCGCTGAACTTCCGCCGCTGATTAGCACCGTTCGAGGCTGGTGCGATTGGTTAGAGCTGATTGCGCGTCCAATCACCCTCAGTATGCCAATCGGAGCCTGTACACACTTCCAGAATATGAATAACGATGCGGCAATCCATAATGTTGGTAGAACTACTAAGATTTGTTTCCAGGCAGGATGAGATATTAAACTGAGCAGTACGAATAACGGTCTCAGGAATAATCTGGGTCCCCATGTGATGATTCGTATGAAGCGCGGCAGAGGCGGCGGCCGCTCCGGTGAAATGGCACGTTCTTCAGGTATTAGAGAGAAGGTCGACGAGAAAGAGCGTCGTAGGGCTGTGAACGGTGGAGGCTGATGCGAGCAGCGTTTAACTCGCGGCGAGAACACTAGTTCAGTATTGGAGCGCGCGAGGCGGCTATATTCGGGCGCACAGGCCGGCATTGTGTATGACAACTGACGCGCGCGCACTGCGGTACCGCATATAAAGTAGCTCCTTATCTACACACTGCCGGCGCCGAGCCCACGCTATCCACTCATCTTTGCACCCAATTAACAGTTACTTGGATTGAAAAAATAAGTAAGTAAACAAACAAATAATAATGAGAATTCTTAGAAATAATTCATTAAATATGCTCACGATTGTATTTTTAGACTGTTACCGATGTGCACCTCATTTTGCAGGACAAGGCGAATCTTACTACATAATATAGGTAATAAAGTTGTAATTAGGCGATGACCATACATAGTAGATATGTAAGAAAAATTTATCTGAGATCTTCATAAGACCAATACTCGAAGTCAAAATTTGTTTTTTCAACCGACTTCGAAAAGGAAGTTCTCAATTCGGTTGTATTTTTTTATGTTTGTTACTTCATAACTCCGTCAATTATAAACCGATAGGGAAAATTCTATTTTGTATGAAAAAAGATATAAGATTGGTCCCATAGAAATTTTATCAAAATCTGTTTAGTAGTTTAATTTTTATCTCGAAAGAAATGTTTCTGTTACAAATGAAGTTTTTTTTTTTGTACAATTTTTTTATTTTTCAGCTATTTTATATTTTTGCCTGTACATTTTTCCAGCATTATGCAAAAAATAAACAGAATCAATGGAGAAAAAGGGGATTGTTAGTAATGGAGACTGAGAATCCCATTACTAGCAGTATACCCAACCAGGTCGACCTCTTAAAGGGATTGTTAGTAATGGAGACTGAGAATCCCATTACTAGCTATACCTATACCCAACGAGGTCGACCTCCTCGCGGTTCCCCCTGGAAACTATCATGGTTAATTCCTGATGAATTCATCATGATGGGCTAACTGGTCTGTTTTCATTCTCATCTATCACCTTTCACTAGTGCTCTGCCAGCGTATCCCATTAGCGCAGGCGGGGTTACCATACTATTTTCACCCATCAAAAAAAAAAGTAAACGTGTGACATAGAGACAACATTAATAAAATCAACAATATTTATTAATAATTTCTACATCTATAAATAATAACAATACTATTGTATAACATCTTAATTATGTATTCTAATTACACAGATTCATCTAGGACTAGCAGTACAGAAACATATCACAAAAGCAATGTAGGAACTACAAAAATAACCTTTAAAAACATATAACAAAAGGTATATTTTAAAATTGTAACTGAATAGTTACAGTGTTATGTTTCAATTATCGCATTCTGAACACATTATTTTATAAAATAAAGTGTAAAGTCATGTACACTCACAAAGTTACTTATAATAATCATAATAAGTATCAGGACTTATATATGAATGACCGGTGGATTTGCAAGAGGTGGAAGGAATAAGGGGGTGTTATAATCCCATCATGTCAGCATGCGATGGAAAGAAGTATCTTAAAGCTAAGAAGAATACAGGAAGAGTTAGGAAGAAATCCAAAATAACAAATGCTCTTTCAGTATAGTATGAAACAGAAGTGGAGATGGGCAGGTCATATAGCGAGGCACAAAGATTGGTGCAAGGAAGGTGGACTCTCCAAACAACATAACAAATACAGCAAGAAAAAACTGGATAAAAATTGGTACAAATAAGGAGAAGTAGAAAAAGATAGGGGAAGCTTTTACACTTGGAGACCACTAAAGTGGAGAAAAAAAGCTATAATAATAATAACAATACAATAATTTACCAAACTTATCTCTAAAGTAAGTTTAACAAAACCATTATGGTATGGACTAACGTTGCATTATTCCGTATTTTATAAGCCACTCATCCCATATCTCATACATAAATTTCAATATACCAATCGAACAAACAATATTCTATATTTACGAAAATTGGTATGATTCTATAACGAATGTGAGTCGAAATTAATAAAATAGAATTTTTAACCATATTTATAAATATGTCTAAAAACAAAAAGATATGTTGCATGCAAAAACTCTAATGAATGATGTGAAATGAAAAACAAAAAAATGCAAGGAATCTTTTAGGGTTTGGCTTGTTTGCTCATTACGTTAAAAAAAAAAAGTTGGTAATCATAGTATAGACACAATTTTCACACAAATGTACTAAAAATTGAGTTTATCTGGATAAATTAAACTGGTATAAAGTCCATGAAATAATCATTACACCACAAATATTAGAAATAGAGAAATGGTGCATCAGAATCAACTCCATTATTCTTGATAGTTGTACATTTCTTAACCAAATACAAGTTAATTTTAATTGACTGATCTACAATAGTATTTAAATGCAATATATTATTATAAAGATTAGTATCATCTAAATAATTATTTAAATACAATATCATAACAATTTAATAATATTATTACAATTACGTTTGTTATAGAAATGATCATGCATTATTTATGTAACACGAGTAAGGTATTATATACTATATTCAATCTAAAATATACAGCAATATAGGTAACATTACACATAATTTTACTACCAATTAGTCTCTAACATTTAATTTGGATCATGGAAAATAGTAATTACCATTAATAGATTTTAAAACCAGACTATATTAATTAATAATTTTAAACTTTATTTCTAATGTTATCAGTTATTTTTTTCATATATTAACATAACTTCATACAATAGACACAATTACCAGACATTACTTGTTCATTTAAATTGTATTTCTTTAATTACGTTTAAAACTTACTTCCAAAAAATATTTAATAATATAAATTGGATATTAATAAAACAATAAACAGCCATGTATTACCTTCATATACAAACAATACAAGGGAAATTTATTATGTAATATTAAAGATATAATTATACTAGAAATGGTAAGTTTGTCTCCTTCAACTCAATTGAGCCATTCTTACAGACTATATGCAACTCATTGTGGGGCTCCCCTTCAAACCTAAACCTTTTCGGATATGACCCATCCATAAACCTGCCAAGCTTCATGATTTTGTCATCAACTTTTATTTTGTCAGCTATCAAATTTGTTGCAGGTAAATTTTTTAATATGTCATGAATTAATAATTCAACTTTGCCTTTTTCATGAATGAATATACTGCTTTTGTCAGTCAATTGTGATGCATGCATAAAGACTTCACCACTCTTCAGTGATGCCTGAAGGTTTCCAGAGAATCCTGTGATGTACAAGTTTCCTTGTTGTATCACATCAATTATCACTGATCTATGTAAATGATCAAGTCTTATGTTGCCCTTGAGTGTTGTGAAATGCGACTTATCACTGTAACATGACTTGACACTTATTGGGCCTGCATGTGTTGTTACAACAAATGAATTGGCCATGATATTGTGACAATGTATACCGGAATTCAAACCAGTTTTCAATTCTATATTGCTTGCTTGTAATCTCCCCTCTGTGTGCACCTCACCCTCTGAACTTTCCACTTTGATATTCTGTGCTTTCAAGTCAGCAACTTTGACGATCCCTTTCTCAGTCTTTACAACGAATTCTTCGCTTTCCAACTTAGATAAATGCACAGATGCTTGATCTGTGGTTGTCACCTGCACTTTCAAGTGATACGGAACTTGTATTAAACATACATCGTTCCTATCTGGAGAGGTATTCTTATTAAGCAGTTCCAAACGCTTAGATGTTTGCTTCACTTGGAAATCAGCTGTATCTTTGCCTTGGCTATAAAGAGTCATAATCAATTTGTTATGTGCTTTTAAGTCGTTAACATCGATAGGCTGAACTTTCACGTGTATAGGACTCTCAACGAATATGCTTGTATTATTATCTATTGTTTTCTCCACAGTCCTGACTATGTTAAGATTCTTAATATCAGGTAGGCTGCTGAAGTCGACAATATTTAACCTCAAAATCTTGAGACACTTATGTAAGACTCGCTGCCCTCCCAAGGAGAACATCTTTAATGTTTCGAACTCCTGATGAATTATAAAAACATGTTATCTACTATTTTATAATCTAATTAATTTTCTCTCATTATTCTCCTTTTGCTTGGTGATGATAAAATATGACAGATGTGAACATCTGACTTTGACAGTTCTTTTTTTAAAATTATATAGGCCTACCTATTAAACTAACAGTGCGTACAGAGATATAGAAACATGTTTATACTTGGTGAATAAGATCAAAATTTAATTTTAATCTTTGTTAAGAAAGCAATAGTTATATATAATTTTATTACATACATCGGTAACTATTCAAAAACTATAGATAAAAACGAAAAAGACGAAAGTCTGTGTCACAGATAAGAAAGACTGTCTTAGTCTATATATATATTTTAATAAGTCACTAACTGTCATCTATCTCCCACTTCTGTCAAACAAATTAATCATTAATACTAATTCCAGACAAATTATCTTTTTGAAGACTAGGCAGCATGGTCTCCGACCTTAGCCTGTTCCAAACGGAACAAACGTACTAAAAAAAAAATCATTAATACTGTGCAGAAAAATATTAGTTCATTTTACAATTATATTAAATAATTTATTTTTAATGTATTTCATATCCTTCATTTTCTGAAAAATTAATTTCATTCACATTACACATTGTTGTTTTAAAATGAATCTTGTATCTTAATATTTAATGTAAAAGTAATCTATTAATTGCGATTTCTCAAATAGAAAAACAATAGAGATTTATTGACTTGCAAAATGAATGCCGACTTGAAAATCGCATTTTCACGGATTAAGCCTGTTTGTGATGTTGTGATGATATGCCCTACTTCTGAAAGCATAGCGACTTTTATTTCTAGTGTGTCACAGCTGAAGAGGGAGGTCGTTCAAGAACTGCAGCAGTATTTGTTATTTCCTTTCATTACCCACATCAAGTCGACGGAGATCGAGTAAGAATCTTCTTAGACCAAGAAGTTATGAATAATAAAAATGTACCTGTTTTTAAAATAAGGAGTATTATATATATATCATATGGTTATATTTAAGGGGTGAAGACTTGTTTTTTTTAATAAATGAAAATGAATGGTAAGAGATGATAGGTGAGGATGACTACAGGTCAGTTGGCCCATCATTACAAATAAAAAAAAAACCACAAAAGTAGCTGTATGGAGGTTGACTTGATAGGGTCTTTAGACCTATTCCTTATTTATTTATAAGATCTATTAACTTGCAAAATGACAAAATACAGTGGACCACAGCATGCTTTGTGTTTGAGTAACATTAAAATAGAATTAAATTAATATATGTTAATAAATGAATAAGAGATATTGATAAAATTAATAAATAATTAAAATTATGACTTAATTGAATATAAATTCAATTACAAATAAATAAAATGGCAAAATACATCAACTTTTTAATGTAGACATGAACAATGAATGACTATCATAGTGAATATCATGTTCAGGCTTGGTTTTTACAATATTATTATACTGGCAGCTTAAAGCAAGAGATGATTCATGACTCAAAATTGTTCTGCAAGCTGAACTTTTAAATAGGTTTTAAAAACTAGGGCACTCTAGTAGGTACATTGTATTCAAGTTTCTTCAGTAGAAATGGGCAATTAATGTGATTCAAAGAAATAGAAGAGATATCACTTCACCTCTTTTCCTCATTCTTCCTCAATACCTAATATCAGATCATAATGGTGCTAAAAAACTGTATATTGTCTTCAAATTAGCTATCATTGAAATTAACTTTTTTTTTGTTTCTAATAAACTAATATATTTTTCTTTTTAGAAAGAAGTATGAACTACAAACAAGATTGATTGATGCAATGAGGGTGGTTTTGGAGAAAGTCACAGTGAACAATTATGAAATGTTATTGAAGATTGAAACTGGGTTGCTCCATTTAGTGTTTGAGAATTCTCAACCTGGAATGAGTGAGTAGTTTTTTTGAATGGTTGAAAAAGTGTAATCCCGAGTGCACTATTGATATACACTTGTGGGGCACCAGTGAATAATGATAGATGAGGATGAAAGCAGGTCATTTAACCAATCATGACAAGTTCCACAATGGTTTCCAGAGGTGCTATCTAAGAGATGATAGGTGAGGATAAAAGCAGCTTAGTTGGCCCATCATTACAAATAAAAAACACAAGGAGCTGTAATGTTGACTTGACAGGATAATTTGCTAGTAATTGATTACTAACAATCCCTCCCTCCCCTCCTCTGTAAGTAGTTATATTTTAAATTTATCATCGTCATCATCAGCCATTATCTGTCCATTGCTGAACATAAGCCTCCCTCATCGATTAGGGGGTTTTGCCAATAATTGCCTCTCTTGGCAAGTGGATATGCAACTGGCTTATTAAGCTTTGGTGATGTTTTGAGAGGGACACTACTGCCTATCCCTTGATAATTTTTCCTTAGTCACCTCTTATGACACCCACATGAAAAGAAAGGGTGGCATATTCTATGCTGGAATTATACAGCCAAAATCAGTATATAAATGTATAACTCATGTATTTTTGTGTATGGCTTTATTTTGTTTTAAAGGGTGGGATAGGTCAGTGAAATTATAGAATATGAAGGTAAAACATCTCGGGAATGACAATGCTTAAGTGATATCATAGCCATCACAGAATGTCTATATATATTCTTTCCATTATGTGGGCTGACAATTTTTCAAAAATCAAGTCTTGATATGAAAGATACCTTCATATAAATATTTGTCATTTATCACTAGTAAGATATATGAATTAATGGACAAAAACTATTGTACTCCTTAAAAAATTATACATTTATATATTTACAGATTACATAAGTTAAAAATATGTACACAAAAGAAGATGACAATGGGTAGTCTTTTGGCTAAATAGCATTCTCTTCCAGGCAATCTTAGGATACCATTCCATACTATGTCTGCTATTTTTGTTAATTGTCCACTGCTGATCATAGCCCTCCCTCTATTGGGAAATTTTGCCAATAGCTGCTACACTTGGCAAGTGGGTTGGCAACCACAGTTAGATATTATATTAGAGATGTTTTAAAAGGATGCTGCTGCCTATCTCTCAATCATTATTTTCCCTTAATCGCTTCTTACAACACCCACGGAAAAAAGAAGAAGTGGCCTATTTTATGCCACAACCACATGGCAACCTTAGGATGGAAAAGAACAATGAATTTATGATTATATTATTTTAAATTATGGTTGTATGATATTTAACACTCTTTTCAGTTGCTAATGTACCAGAAGAGCTGAAGCACAGTGTAGTAAGAGCACTAACTGTTTTGATAGTAAACCTGGACAGGAGGTTTAGAGAGAAACTGCTCAGAACACAAATACCACTGCTTGCACAGGCTATATTTGTGTCGGTACACATGGCTAAGTTGGAAAAGCTAAGGGCTCTCAGGTAAGACACATAAATCTGCAATTGATTGTTAAATTCTATAACAGAATTGAACATTTGACAAATCTATTTTTAAATTATTTAAAAAAAGAATAAGGTCGTATGTTCCATTGTATATTTTTTTTTTTTTTATATATCTCCATTGATTGAATACCATAATGATTTTGTTTTTGTTTATGTCATTGTCTAATGCAGGCGTCCTAAACTTTTAAGATAACATAACATCTACAAAATACCTTTTTAATTTTATGGAATTGAAATTTATTGAAATTAATCACTGTAATTTAAATAAGAGCAAAAATTTTTATTAGAAATATTTTAAAAGTATAACTCTTTATAGTTTTCTTTAATTTTTAATGTGAAGAATGGGTGGGAGAAACTAGAGTGAAACTTTGTACAAATTGTTTGCTTGGACACCTTTGTCTCATTCGTGTTTCAATCGTGAAACAGTTGTGTTTGCATGACTGTGATTCAGTTTGAAGAGTGGGATATGGCAGTGAATTTACTGGGTACAAAGGAATAACACCTTAGTTCTCAGGAATGGCAACGCATGGGGTATATAATACTCTGTTATGCCCATGGTACTGCTTATGTTTATCAAGTAGGCTATCAGCTTGTTTGCCATTCTAAGTTGCATAAAAAAAAAGAGAGAAACTGTTTCACTGTATAAATAATTTCACGAAACCCCAGTGACTTTTTTATGGAACCCCTAGGTTCTGCGGAACCCACTTTAGGAATGGCTGGTGCTAATGCATATGTTTAAACTTGTAGATTGGCAGCAATAAACTGTGTAACAGCGCACACAGCTACTCACCCCCAACTGATGAACGGCAAGTATCACTTATATGATACCAGAATGGAGAGTACAGTGGTTGATATGCTGTCAAGTATCTTGCCCGGTCTGTTGGCAGCACTGCAAGATGTTGCCACATGCACAAATAATCCAGGGCATGCTGTTGTTGTGGTAAGTTTTATTGACTGTTAACTAAACCATTATTAATAATTTTAATTAAAAGTAATTTATTTTGTTGATGTCATTTGTTATTATTATTACTGTATTATTTTAGTAATTGTAAAAAAATATTTACACACCTATATAATGGTAAATGGAGATCATACGCACAATGGCCCAAATGAGAGGCTAAGCGCGGAAAATGGAGTCCTTTTCACATTTCACATTGGTAAATGGAGAGGAAAAATCCCGGTTATGCGGACAAAGTCGCGGGCAAAAGTTAGTAATTTTACCAGAGGGACTGTACAAAAGTCATTTGCTTGGGCACCTCTATACCATTAATGTTTCTACCGTGATGCAGTTGTGTTTGCATGGCTGTGTTTCGGTTTGAAGTGTGGAATATGGCAGTGAATTTAAAGGATGCAGACGAATAACACCCGAGTCCTATAGAATGGCAACGCATGGGGGGTATCAAGGGCAAAAAAGTATACTCTGTTATGTCCATTGCACTGTTCATATTTATAGGCGACGGTTACCACGTTCCATCAGATGGGCCGACAGCTTGTTTGCCATTCTAAGTTGCATAAAAAAAGTCTATAAACTTGTAATTCTTCTAGGCTTCAATAGATGCCATTCACCGCATCCTATGCCTCACAATGCAAGATAAGTTCTTAACAAAGAAAAACGAAGTAACCGTTGAGGATATAACCAAAATGGTGAAGGAAAAAACCAAATTAGCAAGCGGTGATAACAAAGAAGTAAGCAGTAAGGGTAATTAGTAATTTTAGAGCATTTGAATTTTTTTACATAGATTTATTATTTACCTTTAACGGACTATATATTTTACTACCGTCGGTAGACTGCTAGAAGCTTTCATCATCATTTCAGCCGTTAACTGTCCACTGGTGGACATAAGCCTTACCCATAAAGGGAGTTTTGCCAGTAGTTGCCACGCTTGACAGGAACTCCACATATATATATATATATATATATATATATATATATATATATATATATATATATATATATATATATATATATATATATATACATACTAATAAATACTTACTTTATAAATAAATTTCATGACAAATGGCGATAGTATGAAAGAATTTAATAAGTTATTAGAATTTGAAGTACAAGTAATATTTTGCCTCAACAAAGTGAATACTTTATAATCAAGTTAAACTTTTTTTTTAATTATTATATCAGCCAGTAGTTGCCGCGTTTGGTAGACGGCTTGGCAACCGAAGTTTGGCTACGAAACCCACGGCCATTTAAGTTTACTTTACTTAATCGCCTCTTACAAAGAAAGAAACGGGTGTATCATTATATGCTACGACCACACGGCTCACTATGGATGAAAATGGTATGGTAACCGCCAACGCGTAGCACCAGTGAAGTGATAGATGAGAATGAGAACAGGTCAGATAGCCCATCATGATGAATTCATCAGGAATTAACCATTATAGTTTCCAGGAGGAACCGGGAGGAGGTCGACCTGGTTGGGTATATTGCTAGCAATGGGATTCTCAGTCTCCATTACTAACAATCCCTTTCCCCCCAGCTACTATCATTGTATATTACAGCAGCTATTTGAATGTCACATGGATTGTCGTTCCTTTGACGAGAGTTGTTGTAAGAGGCGACTAAAGGAAACTTAATCGAATGGGCAGCAGGTCTCTCTTTAGCATCAAAGCTTCGTTTGCCAACCTGCTAAATGTGGCAACTACTGACAAATTCCCCCTTGAGGTCTATTTAGCAGTGGACAGTTAACGGCTGATGACATGATGACGATGGATTTATTAGGATTATTATAAAAGTCGATTGCTTGGGTACCTCTGTCCCATTCGTGTTTCAACCGTGAAGCAGTTGTGTTTGCATGGCTGTGTTTCGGTTTGAAGGGTGGGATATGGCCTGAATTTACTGGGTACAGAGGAATAACGCCTGAGTCCTCAGGAATGGCAACGCCCCATGCGTGGGTATCATGGGCAAAACAGTATACTCTATTATGTCCATGGTACTGCTCATGTCTATAGGCGACGGTTACCACTTTTCATCAGGTGGACCGTCAGCTTGTTTGCCATTCTAAGTTGTATAAAAAAAACATAAACCTTTGTTCCATTACAGTAGTCTATTTACGGCAGTAAAACAAACAGTCTGTATAAATAACACGTCAACTTTTTGTCCGGTACTCCTTACAAATGGCGCGGGGCGTGTGGGCAACGAGGTATAACGTCTACGCGAAAAAAAAGCTCGCCTGTTTATACCGCTATATATCCAATATAGAGCTGTCATGTTGGAGGAGTGCCGGATACGAAGTTGTCGACATATATTTGTCGTGTATACGTGTTATTGTGCTTACAATTGTAATTTCATTGGCTGTGGTTAGATTTGAAGGGTGGGATTATGACAATGGAATAACAAAACACACAGTTATAACACCTTAGTTCTCAAGAATAGCAACACATGATAGGTATCATGGGTGACACAGTATACTCTGTTATGTCTATAATGCTGTTCGTGTCTATAGGCGACGGTTACCACTTTCCATCAGGTGGATCGTCCGCTTGATTGACATTCTAAGTTGCATAAAAAATAATATAATAAAATTCTTTTGTAAAATGAATTAGGTTATTTTTTTAAATTATGTTTTTTAAATATAAATAAAACAGATTCGAAAGATTCACGTTTTATACAAAAATTTGTAAATTTATCGCCTTTTCGCTATTTATTAATTGTTTTATTAATTATTATTTTATTTACTTGCAAAATGATAGCTCTTTTTTAATAAAATTATTACACGTTTCAGATAAATTAAGCGTGACCAAACGATCACCGGAATGGTTCGCGATGGCCGGCGAAAGATTGGTGTTGATTACAAAAAGCTTGCAGACCCTGCAAACGCACGAGCATTATAAAGTCAGGAAGGAGTTGGCCGTGTACTGCTCAAGAATCCTCATTGAATGTAATCGGTAAGGATACCTTACTAACTACCAGACTGGGGGGAAAGGGATTGTTAGTAATGGAAACTGAGAATCCCATTGCTAGCAATATACCCAACCAGGTCGACCTCCTCGCGGTTCCCCCTGGAAACTGTCATGGTTAATTCCTGATGAATTCATCATGATGGGCTAACTGGCCTGTTTTCATTCTCATCTATCACCCTTCACTGGTGCTCCGCCAGCGTATCCCATTAGCCCGGGGTTACCATACCATTTTCACCCATCAAAAAAAAACTTACCAGACGGAGACTTTGTACAAAAGTCGTTTGCTTGTGCACCTCTGTTCCATTCGTATTTCTACCGTGAAGCAGTTGTGTTTGCATGGCTGTGTTTCGGTTTGAAGGGTGAGATATGGCAGTGAATTTACATGGTACAGAGGAATAACACCTGAGTCCTCGGGAATAGCAACGCATGGGAGTATTATGGGCGAAACATTATACTCTGTTGTGTCTATGGTACTGCCATGTCTATAGGCAACGGTTACCACTTTCCATCAGGTGGGCTATCAGCTTATTTGCCATTCTAAATTGCATAAAAAATCTTTATTTTAACATAATAATATAATAATAATCGAATTTATTATGGTTATGTTTGACATTCAGTAAGACTAGACAAACAAAATCTATTCTCAATTTGACCACAGACTTTAACAATTAACAAAAAAAGTATATATCGTCATAGTGGTAGAATACCGACGGATCTTTATATGTAATCTTTGTCAGATCCGTCAGTATTCTACGACTATGACGATATGTGCGTGTGTGTCAAATACATTACAGTGTGTGTAATGATTTTTTTTATTGATTTTATGTATTTATAAGCATAATTAATAAAAAAAATATTAAAATTCTGCACTTCTCCATATAAACTATAAGTGTGCGTAATCATCACCAAAACCCGAACTGCGGTACCAACCCGCCTGCCAAGTGTAGCAACTACTGGCAAAAGCTCCCCTACGGGGAGGCTTAAGGGCTAACACAATAACAAGAATATTTGTTTTTATTTATTTTCAGAACCATGCAACCCTCTGTGCCGATAGCGTTAGACATTCTGATAGCACTGGCGAAGGACGAGTACCCGCTCGTGTCCGAGTATTGTTCGAAAGCAGTCGACACGTATTTCAACGAGGGCTCCGAGGACGCTAAGATGAGGATAATGGATCAACTGTGTGATAACTTTTTTGCCACATTGAATAGTTTGCCCAGCATACTCAACAATATAGGTAACAATATAAATGAATAAATAATACATAAACATAAAGCAAATTGTTTTGCATTTTAATTTTTAATTTATTTATTTGTTATGGCACACGCACAAACGAAAAATTTTATTTAGCTTTGTGTATTTATATATATTTTATATATATATATATATATATATATATATATATATATATATATATATATATATATATATATCTATATATATATATATATATATATATATATATATATATATATATATATATATATATATATATATATATATATATATATATATATATATATATATATATATATATATATGTTGTAATTTGTGTGCTGTAAGTAATGCAAATAAATTATCTATCTATATATCTATCTGCGAGAAGCTGAAGACCGTGTAAAATGGAATAACATCATAAGAGAGGCAACAGACACCTTTCAAGGACACGACCTTCAGTAATGAAGAGGACGAAGAGAGATATCTATCTATTTACTCTTTATGGGACTACTTAAAGAATAATACATATGTGTATGAAGTACAAATGCTAACTGACCTGATTTCACCGTCATCTATCATCCCTTACTGGTGCCCCACCAGCGTATACCAATAGCGCGGGGCTACCATTTCATTATTATCCATAAAAATAAAACACCTTGAATTTCATACTTGCAAAGAATGGTAATCATGTTGAAAGAGAATCAGTAGACGGAGACTTTGTACAAAAGTCGATTGCTTGGGTACCTCTGTCCCATTCGTGTTTCAATCGTGAAGCAGTTGTGTTTGCATGGCTGTGTTTCGGTTTGAAGTGTTTTCGTGAATTTACAGGATACAGAGGAATAACACATGAGTCCACAGGAATGGCAACGCATGGGGGGTATCATGGGCGAAACAGTAAGGTACTGCTCATGTCTATAGACGACGGTTACCACTTTCCATCAGGTGGGCCGTCAACTAGTTTGCCTTTCTAAGTTGTATAAAAAAAAACGAAAAGTGACAAATAATCTTATATTAAAATATACACATAAAATAAAAAATAAAATCATGATGAAATGTCCAAATTTTCATAATTATATAATTTAGACAACATTTCTTTTGTGGTATAATCATTATGTTAACATTGGGTTTTTTTTTCAGCCCTAAAATTTCATTTTCATGATAAAGAAATAGTGATGTACCTTACAATTATGAAATTGATAACGCTTTTATAACAGACGATGCCAGAAAACTGTCGGCGCTGAACTTGCTGCACGGGTACGTGGAGGCGCTGTGTTCAGGTGAAGCCAGCCAGCAGAGGCTAGGCCGCGCGCTCAGCGGCTGCAGCGGTCTGCAGCGGTTGTGTGCCGCGCTGCAGGCCGCCGCTACACTGCACACCGATCTAGCGCTGCTGAACCATCGTACAGCCACAGGTAATCTCTCTCTAATTGTTTATTCTTTTTAAACAGTAATAACTGTTTGGGTTTTTTTGTAATGAATGATAATGGAATGGTAATCCCGCCTGGTCTAACGGTATACACCGGGTATACGGTTAGCCCATTGTGATAAATATACCTGGAATTCGGCACGATGGTTTCCACGGGGGTCGCAGGAAGATCGATCTGACCGGGTATATACTAACAGTGGAACTGGGGGGGAAGGGATTGTTAGTAATGAAGACTGAGAATCCCATTGCTAACAATATACCCAACCAGGTCGACCTCCTCGCGGTTCCCCCTGGAAACTATCATGGTTAATCCTGATGAATTCATCATGCTGGGCTAACTGGCCTGTTTTCATTCTCATCTATCACCCTTCACTGGTGCTCCGCCAGCGTATCCCGTTAGCGCAAGCGGGGTTACCATACCATTTTCACCCATCAAAAAAAAACAGTGGAACTGGCTATCTGCATTACTAATAATCACTTCCCCCCAACTGTTCAGGTTACAGTTTCAGGATATTGATACATTTATACTCGATAGTATTATATAAATTTGTTTAGTCCCGTGTATCAATATTTGTTTTTAATTGACTTCTAAAGGATGGCTTTTTTATTCTGTTTTTTTTTTGTAACTAATGTTACGCGATGTCGCAAATTCTGAATCAATTTTCCTACTTTTTTTTATCGGAATTTATTTATATATATAATAATTTCCTATTTTTTATTTAATCTATGTTAAGGAATAGTGAACAAATTATAGAATATTATTCAATATAATTTATAACAAAATATAAGTGTAATATGCGCAGATGTGGGCTGGACGTCGCCGGGTGGTGTCCCGTGGCGCCGCTTGCGGCACGTGGACGCCGCGGGCGAGGCGCGGCTGCGGGCCGTGTGCGGCGCGGTAGGGGGCGCTGCGTGCGCGGCGCTGCTGCTGGACGCGCTGCTCGACACCCTGCAGCAGACTCGTCCGCCAGAGGTCGCCTGCCTGCTCAACTGGATGGCCGCCGGTGAGGCTAAGGACAGCGCTAGATCCTCCGTATCCACACGTATTTTCAACGACCAAAGATCGGCAACTACAGACGATACGACAACGTAATCTTCAAGAAAAGAGCATATTCCTTTTTAAAAGGCCGGCAACACACCTGCAATGCCGTAGGTGTTGTGGGTGACCATGGGCGGCGGTAGTCACTTACCATCAGGTGAGCCGCTTGCTCGTTTGCCTGTGTTGTAAAAAAAAAAAAGAGAATAAAAACCCGGGATCCCGAGTGATAAAGTTAATGGGTTACCCAACCGGACAACCGTTACGGTATTGTTAAACCAAATGGCTTAGCTGACCCCATAGGCGAATAAAAGATAACATAAGGTAACCTTCTTATTACTGGTAACATAAAAGAAGTTTTTGGTAGGAGGTTGAAATAAGAGTCAAAATCTTGTATTACAATTGATTAATGATGACATAATTTATTTTTTTACGTCTGTGGTCATTCAGAAATTATTTTTAATTATTTGTTTTAATTATTATATCCAATTATTATAGCTACACTTCCTATGCCACTGTATTAGGTTGACTGGAAGAAAGTTCGTCTTTGATGTATGCTAATATATATATATATATATATATATATATATATATATATATATATATATATATATATATATATATATATATATATATATATATATATATATATATATGTGTGTGTGCCTTTGTCATTCGGGATCCCGGGATGATCAATGACTAAACTTGGTAGCCTCATTCGGCATATTTTTAGCCACGATCTTTAGTTACATAAATTGATTCCCAGTAATCGATAATTGAAATCATCAAACTGAAATGGCAATTGGTAATTAATATAGTGCAAGGGATTGTTAGTAATGGAGACTAAAAACCTCATTGCTAGCAATATACCTAACCAGGTCGACCTCCACGCGGTTCTCCCTGGAAACTATCGTGATGAATTCATCATGATGGGCTAACTGGCCTGTTTTCATCCTCATCTATCACCCTTCACTGGTGCTCCGTCAGCGTATCCCGTTAGCGCAAGCGGGGTTACCATACCATTTTCACCCAACAAAAATATATATATATATAGTTCAAAGAACTAATTTCATATATCAGCCATTACCAATCCACTGCTTAATATAGACCTCCCCCTATTGGGTAGTTTTGCCAATATGCAACATACCCGATAGGGGGAGTAGATATGCAACTACCAGCATGGCAACTGTCCTTGACAAGCAGATTGGCAACAGTTGAGCCTTGATGATGTTTTAAGAGGGCATTGCTGTCTATCTCTCGACCATTAAGTTTCCTTAGTCGCCTCTTACGACATCCTCGGGAAAGGAGTGGGTGGTCTATTTTATGCCGTATAAGTACGTAAAATAAAGTTCAATTTACATTACATTATTCTATGCCGGGACCACATGGCACAATACTTATAATGACACTTGGTTTCAGCTCCAAAATCCCCTATCCACCTAGTGAAGCGCATATTGGACGCGTACTTAGAGGAAGACATGTGGTATTTGCCACTGGAAGTGACCAGTACGGAAGCACCGATCACTAAGGACGAGACTCTAGATGTCACCGTGTACAACCCGAGGGCGTGGACAAAGGAATCCGTGCCGGGTAAGACGATAATACAGGCAGAACTGTCATGTCCGTGAATTGTATGTAAATAACTATGGTGCATCGCTCGCCTCTAATTTGCGATCCTATTATGTCAATGGATAACAACAAACTCCTGATTGCTAGCAATATACCCAACCGTGTCGACCTAAGTATAGAATTTTATAGATAATAATCATTACAATTAATTACAATAATAGTACATTACTGATGAATTGATGGACAACGTGCAAATGATGGGCTAACTGAGAAAAGTACTGTTTTTATTCTCATCTATCACAAAAACACAATTCACTGGTGCTCCGACGAATAACGAACATAATAATTTTTCACGCGCAGGCGGTGTTCCTTTGTTTTTTTTTTTCATAAACATTTTCATTTGGAAACCCGAAATTTAAAAAAAACTAGTTACCTCCTTGGTAGCTATGTTTCGCACTCCATTTTTAATTTGCATATGAGTTTACATAGTAATTTATCTGGCATAAAAACACGACCGATATGGATTTTCATACAACTTTTGCTCGCTCACTCGTGTGTCGCTTAAATATTGATTTATCTCGAAAAGTTCAAAATAATGCTCATATTTCCAATAAAAAATATTTAATAGACTAAAAAATAAATACAGAAAAAACAAATAGTTCCAAAAGAAAATACAGAAATATTATAAATGAGAAGTGTCTCATGTTAGGTAAAAGAAACTGGCTTAGCTGATGCTGTGAGTGTCCCAGTGCAATGTGCACAGCTGCACAGCGCTGTAGAGAACATCTGCAATACCAGAGGTATTACGCGTGCGTTGCCGACCCTGAAGATGCCTCTTTACCCCCCTTTTGTATCTACAAATACATACCTCAAATACATTATAGGAATGGTCAGTGGGTGTAGGTGGCTCAAGACCATTCCTTATGGCAGTCTATGGAGGAGGCTATCTTCAGCAATAAACAGATAACTGATGATGATGATGATGATTTTTATTGTAATGACAGGACTGTTCGAGGGTACCGTTGAGACCCGCTACACGGACATCAGTTACCAGCACCAGCGGACGGCTAAGCCGACCGGCGGCTGCCACTCGCTAGCAACCGCGCAGCAGAACATGGTGCTGTCGTGCCTGCTCACAGAGGGCGTTGGCGTCGTGGCTGTGCGCCTCCGGGAGCAGTACCAGCCGTACATGCTCAAGACCCTGTGCTTGATCTTGGAAAGAGTCGGTATGTTTGCTAATTACAAGTATATATAGGTACAGTGTGTAAAGCACTGTACTAATCAATGTGTGGGGGGGGGGGGGGTGGAAGGGATTGTTAGTAATGGAGACTGAGAATCCTATTGCTAGCAATATACCCAACCAAGTCGACCTCCTCGCTGTTCCCCTGGAAACTATCATGGTTAATTCCTGATGAATTCATCATAATGGGTTAACTGGCCTGTTTTCATTCTCATCTGTCATCCGTCACTGGTGCTCCGCGAGCGTAATCCGTTAGCGCAGACAGGGTTATCATACCATTTTTACCCATAAAAAAAAATCAATGTGTCGATACTTACGGTTTAATAACAAATGAATATTGTTATATATATATATAAAAAAAAAAAATACTTAAAAAAACTTTGCATAAAATTTGGTCTATTTTTGTTATACTGAATGACTCGGTCAACTTCGTATCGCCTAAAATGCCGTCTGTTGTAATCCAAAGTAGTGATTGCCATCTGCTGGAAATTCTTAGCACCCCCTGCTTCGTTATTATAGTTAACTTAATCAGGAATAGCCGGGGACTAGAGGCTGTTTCCTTTTGGTGTTTACCATTAGGGAGGTTGCCAGTAGCTGCCACGTTTGTCAGGCGTGTTGGAAACCGCAGTTAGGCCATTGATGATGTTTTAAGAGAGACGTTGCTGTCTATCCCTCGCCTTCCCTTAGTCGCCTCTTACGACACCCACGGGTAAGGAAGGGGTGGTCCATTCCATGCCGGAACCAACACGACGATTGCCATACAAAGTTACTTTTAGTATTTTCCGACTTTTGTCTCTTATAAATCACTCCTGTATTATAATGAACAAAATAAAAACAAAAAAGAATATTCAAATTTTTTGAGTTTTTGCGAAACTAACGAATATATATATATATATATATATATATATATATATATATACATATATACTATAGTATATTTAAAAGAGTAACTGTTGAGTTTCTTGCAGACTCTTCTCAACAGATAACAACCTTTCAAACTATATATATATATATATATATATATATATATATATATATATATATATATATATATATATATATATATATATATATATATATATATGCCCGTCCCGGCTTCGCACAAGTGGACATTTTTACATTAAAAAAAACATGGAGTATCTGTTTTCCCAACATTTGTTCACTGCTCTGCTCCTATTGATCGTAGATGATGAAAAGTATACTACAACCTGCCCAGATTAAAAATAATTGACAATTTAAAATCCGTCGCTATAATGTATAACAGACAGACAAAAATTTTACTGATTTTTTCAGGATCAAAAAAATCACCCCCTTTATTTTGGAAATATATTTCATGTAATTTATTTATTATAAGTATAGATGACGAGATACTCTGTTTGCCAAATGTAATTTGACATAAAATGGTCATAATATTTCTTTTGTGTTCAGGCAGCAAATACGAGATGCTCCATCTGGCGGGACTGAAGGCAATTAATGATATAGCGCACGCGTGCGGTCATGCGACCGTGGCCGAGCTCATACGCTGCAACGCGGACTATTTCACCAATCAAGTAACGTTGAGGCTCAAAAAGGTATGCAAACCGAATTTACAACTATACATACATAATATTTACATACAGTGGTGGAACAGGACCAAAAATTGGATGTTTTTTTTTATACAACTTAGAATGGCTAACAAGCTGACAGCCCACCTGATGGAAAGTGGTAACCGTCGCCTACAGACATGAGCAGTACCATGGACATAACAGAGTATACTGTTTCGCCCATGATACCCCCCATGCGTTGCCTTTCCTGAGGACTCAGGTGTTATTCCTCGGTACCCAGTAAATTCACGCCATATGCCACCCTTCAAACCGGAACACAGTCATGCAAACACAACTGCTTTAGGGTTGAAACACGAATGGAACAGAGGAACCCAAGCAATCGACTTTTGTACAAAGTCTCCCTCTGGTAAGCAATGGATTTTACAAAATTTACCTCATAACTCTGTCAGTTCTAAACGGATTTGAAAAGTTCTTTTTTTTGTCTGAAAAAATATACTTACAGATTGGTGCCATAGAAATTTTATGAAAATCAGTTTAGTTGTTTAGTTTTTCGATCAAAACTACTTATTTTGTCACAATTTTTTTTGTGACACAATCTTTAATTATATTTCTTCAATTAATCCATACTTTTTGTTGCGGGTTGTATAGAGACGACGAGATTTGTGGAAATGTATATTACCAATGGTTCGGTTTTAACTGACAAAATTAAGAAATAAAAATAATCTTATATATTAAATACAAATGTAGGAAACTAATACAAAACTGGTGGAGCAATACATTGACCTAGTACGTGCAGTGCTAAATTAAAAAATTTGATTATCGTTAATTAACAATTATAAAAATTTCTTAGTAAACCAACAATTTTATGGCACTGCACGCATGTACATAGATATGGCTCCATACTATTGACACATTTTTATTGATGGGTGAAAATGGAATGGTAACCCCGCCCGCGCTAACGTCGATACGCTGACGAAGCACCAGTGAAGGGTGATTGATGAGAATGAAAACAGGCCAGTTAGCCCATCATGATGAATTCATCAGGAATTAACTATGATAGTTTCCAGGGGGAACCGCGAGGAGGTCGACCTGGTTGGGTATATTGCTAGCAATGGGATTCTCATTCTCCGTTACTAACAATCCCTTTCCCCCTACTACAATTGACACATTGACTCGATGACGATCAAACAATCGTGACAAATAACTGCAGTACATGTTACTTGTATATATTGTATGTATATGTATGTGTATGTGTATGTATGTATGTATATATGTTTGTATTTTTCTCAATGTCCTCTAACCAAAGGTTGTCTGGAAGAGATTGCTTAGCGATAAGGCCGCCTTTTGTATCTCTTCTCACTTGGTGCAATAAAGTGTAAATAAATAAATAAATAAAATAAACACTTTACATTACAGGCGTGGAATAGTCAGTCGGCATTGCAGATACTGTCTGTTGTAATGAAGTACAGCGACGTCTCTATGTCGGACTGTCTGTACAGCATTGTAGAAGATGTGAGTAAACCGGAAAACTTGTTATTGAAAACATTTTAGAATGCAGTGGAATAACTCGAAATTTTGTAAAAAGTTTCATTTATTTAATGACATATTGCATCATGTATTTTCTCTTTTTTCTCTACGGAATCATGTGGGAGGGTTATTTAATGCATGTAATATGTGGAGTCTAATATTTTTTTTTTTAACAACTTAGAATGACAAACAAGCTTGACAGCCCACTTGATAGAATCGTTACTTATAGACATGAACAGTACCATGGACATAACAGAATATACTGTTTCGCTCATGATACCCCCCGTGCGTTGCTATTCCTGAGGACTCAGATGTTATTGATTATGGAAAGTGGTAACCGTCGCCTATAGACATTAGCAGTACCATGGACATAACAGAGTGTACTGTTTCGCCCATGATACTCCTCATGCGTTGCCATTCCTGAGGACTCAGGTGTTATTCCTCTGTACCGTGTAAATTCACTAATAACTAATTATAATGCATGATTAAATCTCATATTTCAGGTACTAGTGCAAAGTTGCGATAAATATTACGAGAACAATCTATATGACTACTTACAAGTGTTCCTAACATTCGTACAATGTATACGAAGGTGGTACCCAGCAGAGACTCCAAACGAATCGGACGAAGACAATGTTCACTCGAATATAAACATATTTAATGATCTGAAAGAATATATAAAGAATGAAGAGGAATCGGAGAGGTTGATGAGCAATGATGAGTTTGAGAAAGAAAGTGGCAAGACTATAGAAGAGATGTACCAAGAAGATTTAAAAAATAAAGAAGACAATATATTGGATTATGACGATCGAGTTACTGGTTAGTTTTAAACCGACAAATATACTTATGTTTACACATTCTAAATATATTATTTAAAATGTGTAAACAACGCGAAAGTTTAAAATTAACTACCCTACTTCTTTTGATAGAGAACTCCATCTCCTTGTCATAGATTAAAAATATATTTTTTTTTAATTTACAGAAGAAAAACCGCCTCTCCCCCAACACGTCACTGTAACTGTGACGATCATAAACCGGTGCATACACTTCATCAGCTCAAAGAGTCGCGATGAGGCCATGCTGGCGTTGCAGGTTAGCGATAATCTACCCTCATTCCTTTTTTAAATGGAAATTCTTAAGAATGACCATCCTACCTGCCGTGTGGGATTCTTAGTCACTGAAAACTACGTGATGTACCTTAGGATGACATATGCACTACGTCTAGAATGATGTAACTTCCTAACTAGGGGGGGGGGGGGATGAATTATTAGCAATAGGTCTAACTGCTCTATTGCTAGTAGTATATGCTTTCATCAGGGAATCGTTAGTAACGTGAACTACCAGTCTGCTACTTCTTTTTTTATTTTTATTTCCTACTTTGCTGAGCTTATAAATAAAAACTATATTTTAAATTTTCCCACATTTTATTCTTATTCCTGTTCTCTATTGCAGATAGTGAAGGAGGGCCTGCAGCAGCTGCGGTCGCACGAGGACCAGCTGCTGCCGCTCGTGCACCGCAGCTGGGCGCCGCTGGTCGCCACCTTCGCTGCCCAGGATATACCATGCCTCACGCAAGCGTTACAACTTTTCCTCACGCTGGCGGAACTCTCCAAGGACTTCATATTGAGCAGAGCTGTCAAGTGAGTTTTTTTCTTTGTACGAAAATACAAATGTTGTTAATATTAGAAATTGCATTGCAGGGAATCAGTGAATGCAGGTGGCTCAGGACCGTTCCTTATGGCAGACTATGGAGCATGCCTATGTTCAGTACTGGACAGATAACAACTTTTTTTATGCAATTTAGAATGGCAAACAAGCTGACGGCCCACCTTATGGTAAGTGGTAATTGTCGCCTATAGACATGAGCAGTACCATAGACATAGCAGAGTATACTGTTTCACTCATAATACCCCCCCCCCCCCATGCCTTGCCATTCTTGAGGACTAAAGCGTTATTCCTTTGTACCTACACTGCCCTATCCCATCTTTCAAACCGAAACACATTGAGACTTAAAATGGTCACTAAAGTGTTCTATTAAGAAACAAAGCCTTAACTAAATTATTACTTAAATGACAAATGTGCATGGTGTTAGGCGATCACGCACGGGCTTTTTAATGACTATGTATTTAAATAAATACACGTAATGTTGAGAGAGACTTAAAAGAGTAACTTTTGAGTTTATTACGGGTTCTTCTCAGCAAATAACAACTTTGCAAACTTGCTGTAGATAAAAAAAAATATGATTTAAGTGTTTGTAAACAAGTCTATTTAAATAAAGATATTTTGTATTTAAAGAAACACCAGTGGTGACTATATAATATATATATATCCACAGGGAGGTCCTGCCGAATATCTACAAAAACCTACACAAATCATCGTCCGAGAGCTATCTGAAGGACGCGGGGTCAGCGTATAGGAACAGCCAGGCGTATTCACTGCAGGCAGCCACCCTCGCCACCCTGCCGCGTCTCGCCGTCAACCTAGGACTGCATGACGAACACTTGGACGAAGCGATGAACTGCGTCGACGTGTACTTGTCGAAGAAACAACCCAAACCTTTACAGGTATTGCATTCTCTTTATGATAATAATAAATAAAATAAAAAATAGATATTTAAGAAAAAATATTGGAATTATCTTAATAAAAGCAATAAGAGTTGAAATAATCATTTTTAGAATTTTTGTCTGTCTAAACAATTGTGTTCCTGAAAGTGTAATTTAAAATCTGGTATATGTTTTATTTTGATATTCCGTCTAGTACTAGACTACTTACTATAACCGCTGCCAGTGTAACCTGGTCGTGACGTCAAGAATGTGAATCATCATAGTTTACCTAAATGATCCCGTGGGGGGGGGGGCAAAGGATTGTTAGTAATGAGATCTGAGCCAGGCACATTAGTAACAATATGCCCTAACAGATTGACCTCCATGTCGAATTTATTTATTTATTCATTAGAACAAATATGTGTACATGGCGGACTTACTGCTAAAACCATCCTCTCCCAGTGAACCATAGGGAAGTGTCGGAATACTCGAATGCGGTACTAGTAATAATATATACATACATATTAAGAATATATATAAACATATATATATATATATATATATATATATATATATATATATATATATATATATATATATATATATATATAAATATACTTGCACATATATGACATATACTATATTATACATGAAATTGAGAATAATATAAAGTACTTACTGCTCGGATAAAGTAAAAAAATGAGCGTGAACGTTTTTGAACGACAAATTCATCACGATATGCGAAGTGACCTGTTTCATCCTCACCTATCATCCCTCACTGGTGTCCTGCCAGCGTATACCGATAGCGCAGACAGAAACACCATTCCTTTTACATTCATTAAAAAAATCGTGTTAATTGCCATCTCTTATTTTATGAAAGACATAATGTCTTCCTTCTTCCAAAATCCACGCATACGAAGATGAAGTTAATGAACTTGACACTCAGTACATATCTTCTCCTTTATCGTTTCCTCAAACTATCAAGTCGACCTCCTCGTGGTTCCCCCTGGAAACCATCGTGATTGATTTATTGTTAGATTCGTCACGGTGGACTACCTGACCTATTTCATCCTCACCCATCATCATCATTGGTGCCCCGCCAGTGTATACCGATAGCGCAGGCGGGGTTACCATTCAATTATCATCCATTAAAAAGAAAAGATATGTAACCAGCTTAATCTATATACGTGTGTTAATATGTACAAAGGCGAGTTGTAAATTTGCAATGAACTTATAACAAACTCCCATTTGTGACTTAATGCGACAAAAAACTATCAATTACTTGTTTGTATTGTTACAGGCACTGGCCGTAGAATTCTTCAAAATAATCTTAGACTACGATTACGGGGCTGCTTGGCATCATTTGAGGAACCTTTGCAACAATAGCCACGTGTTGAACCCGCCTCCTACACCGCATATGTCCCTACAGCCCGTCACCGGCACTCCGTTCAATGCCAAAAACAAAAACTACGAAGCAAATATCAAGTTAATATTTAATTATAATATTAGTTAAGTCGTTTTGTAAAAAAAAAAATAAAAAATAAAACATAAATGGCAGTATTTCCTTTTTATTTTATATAAACACTTTTGACAGAAACAAATACCCATTTTAATATACAGATTACACAATCTAATGCAACCGCACTCACATCTTTTCATTACATTCGAATTAAACATATAAAGGTGCGTATCGACCGGGAGCATAGCATATTTAATTAGATGTAATGTTCATTTCGAAACGAATAATGAATTATAGTGAATACGCACCCTAATAACCATTCTATCAATTTAATACATTCGTGGCTCCATTAAAAAAAAAACACTGTTCAAAAATTTTATACAATTATTATGAAAGATGTGAGGTAAAACCGATACATTAGGGCCGAACGATGAATTATTAGACCATATTACCATTAACTTAATAAATTCTAATTCATTTGGTAACCTTGTAATTTGTTTAGCTAAATACATAAAATCCTTAGCTAAATATTGTTCGTATAGAGGAATAAAAATTTTTAATAGAATGGAAAAACATGACAAAAATAAAATATTAAAGTTAGTCTTCATTTAATTTCACCGTATCCAATTACATTTACATAAAATACTTGTGCAGCACATATGTAATCTAACGGGTTGTGGCACGTAATTTTTGCGACATGCAATTCATAAAATCGCGTAATTTACGCGATTGCAAGTCACTAAATTTCTACGCGTAATTTACACGAATTACGAAATTAGTACCCGTAATTTACGAGACTTGCAACACGCAAAATTGTAATATACATGCCTCGTAACTAGATTACACAATTTACACAGTTCCTAACTTAGATACCAATTTACCACATGTAATTTACGCGTTACGTAACTTTAAACAAATGCAAATTATACCAAACTAATACAAAAGCAAATAACAGAATAGTACCAATGTTTTTAACAATACTTTAGACTTAATTCTAAATATACACTCAATTATTTTAACAAGTCGTTTGAAATAAGTCGACCACTCACTAACGTACTCTTGCTATTGTGTCAGACTAAATATAAACCAAAATAAGTACGGAACAAGATATATTTTATTATGATTTGTTAACTACATTTCAAAACAAAACTACAGTTGACAAAAACATTATTCTCATTCATAACTTACGACATTTTTAATCGAATTACATGCTCATGCGATTAAATGTCAGTTGATTAAATTGAATGAAGGCAATTTCATCTCTAATTTGCGAGTAAACTATCCAACCATAACTGTCTTATTAAATATATTTTGAAACAAATTTTGCAAGTAATTTTATACAACAGTTTTCAAAATAAACTGAAATTTGGCACATATATAAAAAAAAAAATCTGAGTATCAAACTGTTATGATGACAGACTTGGAAGAAGAGTGTCAAAATTTTCACTGTAGTTAACACAAATGCACTTTGATGCGACTAACCGATCTACAGATCGTTCATTAAAAACCGACGCAGTTTCCTTAAAAAAATTGTAATTTTCTATACAACTTAGAATGGCAAATAAGCTAACAGCTCACCTGATGGAAAGCGGTAACTATTACCTATAGGTATAAACAATACCATGGGTAATACATAATTCTGATGTCTTTGACGTTTGCTAATGTTTAAAATCGTATTTAGTATACATTAATAATACGATTAAAAAAAAGAATAAGTATATAAATCAGCGTCAGGTTTTGCTCAACAATATCAACTAGTTAAAATGATTGAGTTATAATAAATAACAATAAAATTGATCGTGAGCAATTACATCACATGAAGAACAGCATTTTTTTAAGTTATTATACATTAGAATAATAGAACATAGCAAGGTGCACGTATTTATAAAATTAAAAATAGACACAACAAATCAAATGCATTACCTTTATAGGGCCTGACAAAGATTGTCGCTGGGTCCTCATTGAACCCAAGGAGGTTTCCATTAAAGTCTTGTATAAACGGGGGACATTTTGTCCACTTAGAGTTCTGTTATTTGTCATCGAATTTCTATTATTTCTTTTTTTTTTTTTATTGTTAAAACATAGTTAAGAATACAACAAAAGTATTTTAATAAAGAATTAAACATTGTGAGAAGTAAAACAAATAATTATTAAAAAAAATCGAGAAAGGAATAGTTGTAGGAACCATTAAAAAATAACCCCTAAGAACTGTCATAGAAAGTACATAACAGCGTAAACAAAATTCAAATCCTTTAAACTGATTACGATCGGCTTTGATCGCATTTGGTAATTTACAATACGCTAACCCATATCTAACATAGCAAGAGAAAAAAACCTTAAATTTAAAAATTTTAGACAACAATTTTTTCTAAAAACCAACACGATTAAATCAACCCTCAAACAAAATATGCAATTAAATTAATTCACGGTAGGAAAGTCCATTTGGTTGAACTAATATTGTAAACAGTTATGGGTCTTCCCTTAAAGCCTGTGTACTATATATATATAATATATAATAGCTATTACACATTCGCAGAACTATACAAATACCTAAACTGTATGGATATGCAAGGTTCATGCTCTTGCGGCATTTTCCGTCCAACATAAGTTAAAATAATTGGAACAGAATTGTATCTAAAATGTTCAGTAAAAAAAACTTTGAACAAAATGGGAAGGAAATTTTATGCCAACGACTGACCTAAAATTTTGCATAATGTAAGATTCGTAACGAGTAGGAAATGAGGCTCCGATGTCAGATATTTTGGCTTGAATTGTTGTTTCGATGATAAAGAAATAGTCGTGTTATATTACACAGAAATTACAATGTAACATGTTACATTACACACAAGATACAATATAACATGTTACATTACAAACATGTTGCAATGTAACATGTTCTTTACATGTTACATTACGTTGAAATGAGAAAGATCAGTCATCAACTTTAGCTAATTCAACCTTCGTAAATAACAACTCACTTAAAATTAAATACCATAACATTCCCTAAAATATCTAAGTGATCGCGTGATATTATTATACACTATCTACATTCAGCTTATTTTGTTTAATAGGTCGTGAACATTTGCATAAGGTTGATATATTTGCATGCAGTACAATGTAAACCCTTTAAATGACAACTTTGAGATATTTTATTAAATAAAACATTTTTTCTTTTTGCACACGAAACAACGCTCCGCGATCTTTAATTTAAAAAATTACAGCACTTTTTTGTATAATTCTCATCATTAAACTCTCGTTTAATAATTATTCGAACTTCATATCAAATTCGGGCTATCACTATCATTTATTTACGATATTATTTTAATAAAAACTGTTTACATTTCATTGCAATATAATTACGCTAATAGTATGTGTAATATACTGCGTATAAGAAACATACCTATGTTTGCAATGTTCACATAAAGGCACCTCGTTAAAAAAAGATTGTAGTAAAATTGTCATCATATGACCATTGCAAACATGTTACAAAAAGTACTGAATAGATTACTCGTATATATTAAAGTTACAGGTCTTTTCAAAACCTACTGCGGACACCAGTCTCTCATAAAACCAGGGTCACATGTTAAATTGTACCTCGAGTTGCTATGGGTCACATGTTAAATTGTACCTCAAGCTGGTTTTTACTGCATTTTGTGAAGAGAAAAATAAATCATTAATTTATGTATAACTAGTTTAATTGTAATGTAACACTGACAACAATTAGCGGTGTAGTCCCAGCATAGAATGGGCTACCACTTCCTTTCCCGTGGGTGTCGTGAGAGGCGACTACAGGAATCTAATGATTAATGGATGGGCAGTAGCGTCCCTCTTAAAACATCATCAAAGCCTTACTGCGGTTGCCAACTCACCTGCAAAGCGTTGGCAATTACTGGCAAAATCTCTTGATATAAGAGGCCTATATTCAGCAGTGGACAGTTAACAGCTGATATGGCGATGATTCACAACAAAAATATTGGTTATGATACTTAGGAATTTTAGACTGTTATTTTAGCTCTCTCACTGTATTGATGGATAGTCACTTTTTTATTACATGAGATTTACTTTGTTATATGTTACATTACATTCAAATTATAGAGGTCATTTGCTAACTTTAACAATGTCGACCTCACAATGTTATACACATTACAAATTATAAAATACATTCAAATTTACATTTAAAAATAATTTTGAATGTTACTAAATTATTTAAAATATTAATTACATCTGTAATTTACATTTTAAATATTCTAAAATCATTGTGATTGTATAAAATATGTATTTCGAACTATTTATGGTAATTTGAAGAAATGACAACTACATTTTTTTAAATGCTGTACATAGTGAAGATATATGTAATGAATTAGGTGATTTACATGTTGAATTTTATTCGTTAATTATTTTAGAAAAATTATGTAAAGATAGGCCGCGCACACTTTGAAATAAATTATAATGTATAGAAAGATATGTCTGGGTCAAAATGTAAACATAATTGCCTGAAAATATATTGTTTAGAATCGTATACCAAACCAATTTCATACGACATTGAAATTTCACATAATTTTTGTTGAAATAAAATCTTACTAATATAACAAAATTGTAACTAGATGATGTTTGTACATGAAAGACATTTTAGAAAGTTTGTCTGTCTGTATGTTTGTACCAATATCACGCAAAAACTGTTGCACCAAATTATATGTTTACAAAGTCTTGTTCCGAGAGATGTAACTTAAAACCTGGTATATGTTTCGTCTTGGTGGCGCATCTAGAGTGAACTATTTCATTAGTATTATTACTTCTGAAATTCACGTGTACGCAATAGCAGACGGAAAGCTAGTATCAGTATAAAATTACAACAATCATTTCGTTAAATAAAAATTATTTATTTATTCTAATAAATGTATTGGCCAAATAAGAACAACATGTTTTCTGTTTTCAGTCATTCATTTTTGTAATAATCGAACAAAAATAAATTTCTTAATTGAGAAAGAAATTCTATCAATTGAGTTACATATAGTAATATTAATAGCCCATCCTTAAAACAATTTCACATGTATTTTATTTATAAACAATTTTTTTTTATAAAAGATTTTTGCAGAGAGGTAACAAATTAAGCAGAAATGCATTTTTAATATTTATTCTTTACATCATTATTACATTTTCTTTATTATTATTTACCATTATTGTATCTATAATGATACAAAAATGATTATTTAGTTTTTGGTTAGTGCATTGGTAAATTTGTAAAGCTCAACAAAACTATGTATATATATAAATAAATAAATAATTTCAAAGTGTGAACGGCCGTTATAATTTTACAATGTTTGTTCAGTGATAATTCCTGGAATGGTATTATTTGATTAAACATTTACCAACCGTTTTGCAAATAAATAATAATATATCTAAATTGCACTAGCTAATCAATAAATTCACTATAATTGTCTATTCATTGTAGTATGTCTTTATTTGCTCACTTACATAATAATAATCACACGAATTGGCTTGGTTCCAATAAATACATTCCAAGTATTCTGTACATATGTAGTATGAGATCTCTAGAACTCTATATAATGTTTACTTTCAGTGGTATTCCTAAATTAAAAAAAAAAAAAAACTGTACCTCTTATCGCATATCCATCCATTTACTTAACTGCACATAAAAAAAAAAAACTAAAAAAATACAGTACTACTTTTATGAAATATATGTCGTTGGTCAATGGTATCATTCAACTTTTTTTTTACAAAAAAAAAAAATATGCAAAGACATACTACTGTGAATAAATAATTTATTTGAACAAATCATCTGTTATTGTGTCGATTATTGTTATACATTTATTATATATTACATATAATTTTGCAGTATGTTTCATAGTTACTCGATACTCACTACGCACGACCACAACACTATCATATTTATATGTTTTTCTTTAAAAAGTCTATTTAAAATTAGTGACGTCTGGACTGTGAGCTGAATAGTAAGTGGTGAAATCTGAGCTGGTAAGTGTAGTGAAATACAGTAGAATCTCGATTATCCGAACATTGGTTATCCGAATATTCGATTATCCGGACTTATTCTTCACGGCTCTAATTACCGATTTAGAAATGGTTTTATGGTATTAATTGGGTAAATAGATATTATGTAATCCATTATATTTATAGCTCGTAGTTTTCTTTTATATTGTATTGTCTAAATTATGTATATAAAACCTTTTTCATAATAAAAAAAAATATTAAAATTTATTGTTCGATTCGACTTTGAAATCGATTATCCGGATTTTCGATTATACGGAATACCCGTGGTTTATTTGGTTCGGACAATCAAGACTCTATTGTATTTATGATAATTTATAATTTTCATTAATACTGTCGGCTGGGTTTTGGCATATTATACTTTATTACACCTATAATGAGAATTCAATTCCTTAGGCGCAAATACAAATGGCCGTATTCGACTAATATTGCTATCTCATTTATACCAATTTAAATGAAAGAGATAGATACAAATCGTTATAATAATTTTGTAATTACAGTGCCATATGTTTAATTTGAGCTCAACTTAATTTGGTTAAATTAAAAATATGTGATATATACCTAAGTACATTTGTATGCTCATCACATATTTTTTAAATTTTAAATAAATATATATAATTGTAATTTGTATAAGACTAGCCATTGCTCCAAACCTCACTTGCGTGGCGATTTCGGGATATGCTATTTATATTAAGCACTTCTAGTTGTGTTCATATGTCAGTATCTCTTTCTATATGAGATTATAGACACATAGTCGAACTCTTTTTCCTTTTAAACCTATCTTGTACGAATTCTGGGAAATTTTAAAAGCTATCTTGAGATTTCGACTACACTCCTTGGAGTAAGTTATTCAAGCAATTTGAAAAATACATAGGATGCCCACAACTTACATTTGTGGCACTATATTCACTAAATTTTTATTTTATACATTATATACATGTATATGTCACCTATAGAAATATATATGAAAGGCGTCCAATTCAAATCCTCACAGTGGCATTCCTGCAAACAAATTTAAACCATACAATTCTAGTCTCACAGTCCAGATTCCCTTATCGATTGTAACTCACTATATAAAATATAAACATCACTTCCAGGCCATCCGTAACATTTTCCGCGACGCTAAGTATTTAGTGCTGTATGTGAGCACTATGAGCGCGGCTAAGACAATAGTAATAAGGTTGTAGTCGAAGTCATCTTTCAATAGATCGAACGTCTTCGACGGCGCCACTCGGGTGTAGAACAAATCTGAAAACAAAAAATTACATAGATGAAAAAAAGACATGGCAAGAAATATTTTTAATAAAAAAAAATAATAATAATAGTAATGAGTATTAGAGATGTGAGTGTTGACGTGGAAATGTATAGATAAGGTGTATAGGTGTGCAGTTTTGTACATGTTTGTATTTACATATGGTGTATGTTTTTTTTTTTGATGGGTGAAAATGGTATGGTAGCCCCGCCTGCGCTAACGGGATACGCTGGCAGAGCGCCAGTGTAGGGTAATTGATGAGAATGAAATAGACCATTTAGTCTATCATGATGAATTCATCAGGAATTAACCATGATAATTTCCAGGGGGAACCGCGAGGAGGTCGACCTGGTTGGGTATATTGCTAGCAATGGGATTCTCAGTCTCCATTACTAACAATCCCTTTCCCTCCTATGGTGTATGGTTAGAAGACGCATAGTTATATGAGTTGGTGTAATGTCTATACACGTCAGTGCCATGTGTAGTGTCTCTACGTAGTGTGGTGTGGTGTGGTACGATGTAGTATAGTGTAGTGTAGGTATGGTGTGATGTAGGTGGTAGAGCGGCGAGGTGTGGGTGTAGTGTGTAGTGTCGCATGTTAATGTAATGTAAATTGGACTCTTTTCCGCGCTTAGTTTCTCATTTGGGCCGTTGTGCGTATGAATCGTGACTAGTACAGCCAACCCAGCTCCGTAGAAGTGTGTCGCAGTATAGTGAGGTGTAGTGTGATGTCGTGTAATGTGGTGTGATGTGATGTGATGTGATGTGATGTGATGTGATGTGGTGCGGTGCGGTGTAGTGTAGTGCGGTGAGGTGTAGTGTAGTGCAGTGGGGTGTAGTGTAGTGTAGTGCAGTGCGGTGTAGTGTAGTGTAGTGTAGAGTAGCGCGGCGTGGTGCGGCGTGGTGCGGCGTGGTGCGGCGTGGTGCGGCGTGGTGCGGCGTGGTAGGTACCGAGGCCGGCGGCGAGCACGAGGCTGGTGGACTCGAGGCCGGAGGGCGCGGCGTGCAGGGTGCGCGGCCGGTGCAGCGTGCGGTTGTAGGACAGCACGGCGTCCGCCGCCAGCGGCAGCTCGGGCGCGTACGGCGCCAGCCCCTCCTCCGGCTGCGACACCGCGCCCGCCCGCCGCGGGGACAGCAGCGCCCACGGCACCTCCACTACCGCGCCCGACGACAGCGCCACTGCCACACATCACGACACGCAATACAATTAATAAACAATAAACTTTAAATACTTGTATGTTGAGGAATGACAACAGAGCTAGTAAACTTAAGACTTTAACTACTGCGCTAAATCTTCAAATACTCACATTGCCAAATCCGACACATTATTTCCCTAATAGTAAACCTTCCCTTATTGATCTCACAATTGTTTCTCATCCTAATATGGCCATTTCTCAGGGGCAAATGTGTTCTTCTTTTTCTCACCATGATCTAGTATATCTTTCATATAGGGTACGCCCTCCTAAGACTAAGAGCAAGGTTCGTCTGCTTCGTGATTTTCGGCGTATGGATCTGGGTCGTTTGAGAGAGGATGTGGGGCGCATCGATTGGTCGAGTTTGCTCTCTGCTGATAGCGTTGACGTAATGGTGGATATCCTAAATCTGGAATTACTAAAACTGTACGATACTCATGCTCCAATTCGTCCTGTTCGTATTAGGCATCCACCAGCTCCCTGGTTATCCCCAGTAATTAGAAGAGCTATGGCTAAGCGTGATAGGGCAAAGGCCCGGTATAAGCGCGACAGGTCTCAGGTTAATTTTGAGGCTTATAAGAAACTACGTAACATCTGCAACAGAATGTGTAGGGATGCCAAACACCACTATATCCATTTTACCATTCAAAACCTCTCCCAACCGCAAGTTTGGAAATTTCTGCAATCTTTAGGCATAGGAAAATCCTCTAGTCAATCTCTTAATAACTTGGACCTTAATGATTTAAATACTCACTTTTCTACTCCTCCCTCTTCTTTAAGTAATTCTGCTAGGGCCAACTCTCTTTCATATCTTTCTGATGCCGAAGTGCCTGATTGCCCTTCATTTACTTTCCGTATAGTGTCCACAGATGCTGTCAGAAAAATTATCTGTTCCATATCTACCAAAGCCATTGGCAGTGACAACTTAAGCCTCGATATGATTCTGCCGGTGTTGGATGAGATATTGCCCGTAATCACACACATTATAAACTACTCACTGAAATGCAATGTTTTCCCGACACAGTGGAAAAAGGCCTTTATTATTCCACTTCCCAAAACTCTGAATCCGACCAGCTTCTCCCAATTCCGTCCCATATCCATTCTCCCCATTCTCTCTAAGGTCCTTGAATCAGTAGTTCACCATCAATTACATCAGTATCTCACTGCCAATCACCTGTTATGCCCTTTCCAATCAGGTTTCCGTCCATCCCATAGCACTACTGGAGCACTACTTAATATTACTGAGGACATTCGGCGTGCCATGGATGACACTAATCTCACAGCTATTGTTCTTCTTGACTTTACTAACGCTTTTAACTCAGTAGATTTTGACATTTTGCTTGCCATGCTCCGTGTAGTAAACGTATCCTCTCCTGCTATTGAATGGTTTTCTTCCTATCTTTTCGGTCGTCAGCAGTGTGTCAGAGCCAATGATGCTTCATCGGATTGGTCTCCACTCACTGCCGGTGTACCTCAAGGTGGCGTGCTGTCTCCTTTACTCTTTTCAATTTTTATAAACAATATTTCTCGGATCATTAATTCTCCCTACCATCTGTATGCGGATGATCTACAACTTTACAGACACTTTGCACTGTCCGAAGTGTCTGATGCCATTGCTGTCTTAAATACGGATTTATCTGCAATACAATCGTGGGCTAAGACATTTGGTCTTCTCGTAAATCCTGCTAAATCACAAGCTATCATTATTGGCAGCAGCAGGATGCGATGCAGGTTGAATTGGACCGGGATACCGCCACTTTACTACGATGGAGTTCCAGTGGCATATAGCGAGAAGGTTAAGAACCTTGGTCTCATAATGGACGGCACTCTATCTTGGACATGTCATATAAATGAGCTCAGTAGACGCATGCACTTTACATTTCACTCTCTCAAGCGACTTCAATACTTTCTCCCAGTAAATACTAAAATCATGCTCGCACAATCTCTACTACTCCCAATACTTGACTATGCCGACGTCTGTTTTTTGGATGTGACTGAGGAGCTTCTAAACAAGCTGGAACGATTACAAAATCTGGCCATTAGGTTCATCTTTGGTCTTCGTAAATATGATCACGTTTCTGCCTTTCGCAACCAGTTAAAGTGGCTTCCTATCCGACTTCGGCGTGATATGCACATCCTTTCTTTCCTTTATAACATACTTAATAACCCCAATTCTCCTTCGTACCTCCGCTCTCGATTTAAATTATTACCACCACCAATCCGTCCTAAACGCTCCTGTCAAGTTCAGTCCAGGATTCTCGACCTACCTTTGTGTAGAACACATTTTATGGGCAACTCTTTCTCGTATCGAGCTGCCCAATTATGGAACAAACTCCCTTCCCACATACAAGAGAGCCCTTCAATTACCTCTTTCAAGAAAAGGTTGAAGTTACATTTTCTTTCCTTTGAGTCATAATTTATTTATTTTTATAATTGAACTGTCAAACTTTGAAATCATTGAACTAAATTTCTATTCTAGGTAGTATATTCATTTATTTTAACATCCACTGTATAAGTAAGTAGATATTATATTTATTTATAGTATATGTATTTATGTAATATTTTATTATGTATCTTAATATTTTATTTAACTGTATATTTGTTTATGTATTCTAAATATTAATAGTTGTAGCACTTCAGCTGCCCGCTAGCAACATGTTTTCTAACTGCATTGGGTTGACTGGAAGAGATCTCTGTCAGAGATAAGTCCACCCTTGCTCACAATATTTATAAATGCATTAACATTGTAATTTACAAGTGCAATAAAGAATATATATAAATATATATATAAACATTTTAACATATTATATTAAAAAGTACATATATCTATGTACTCTAACTAAAGGCGATTGTATCGTTGTACACTTTGACTATATGACGTCATAAAACGTTGCTTACCACTTTTTCTTACGATCAATAAAAACAAGCAAGCGAAGCGAGAATGTAAAAGCACATATAAGCCGTATGCACGGAAAATTGTAAATTAAAGTTTGATTCACGGTTGTCTAAAACGTTGAATTTGTAACTCATAACAATTAGCAAATTTAAACGGCATCATATTTGTGTGAGCGGGCAACACTGAAGAACGCGTTCTACATATTCGATATAAGATTACAACTGTCGTAAGCTATATCTAGGTTAAACTTTGGCCCTAAATATCCCTCTAAAGACCATAAATTTTTGTGTGTATAAATGACAGTAGAGGTTTGACTTACACAGCACGTGTATGTCGGCGAGCGCGCGCTCGGTGACGGTGACGGCGGCGGCGAGCGGCGCCGCGGGCAGGATGTAGGCTTGCCGCTGCACGCTGGGCGCGCGCTCGCACGCCAGCGAGCTGAACGCCGCGCCCGCCGGCAGCCACCGCTCCTTGCCTTCGTACAACTCCATTGTCGCTGTATAGTAAGTACATATGGTTAATAATTCATTGATCCGGCTCAAAGGACCATAGATGTATGATACTTTTTGTTAAAAAAGAAATATTTCTATTTAAGCAAACTTAGATTTAAGCATCTTAGAATAGTCATCTTTTCATTCCCGCTTATTTGTAACGCAATTTCAGCCAAGAAGAACAGACATTAAACTCAGCTGTTGCTTTTTTTCCAAAATTTCAATTATAGAAAATTCTTAAACTTTCTATTCAACCACATAAATAATAAATTTGTGTGAATACAAACTACCAAGCAGTATCAGCTCATAAATTAAAAATATATATAATTAAGTCAAACAAAAAGAATCGATCGCAGTGACCAGAGTAGACCAGTCCCTAGAGGCACAGGTGTTACCATTACGCACTGCACTGCACGAGTATGACGGGACTACAAACTTTCGGAAGCGTTTTTAATTCATTTCATTTGAAAGTAGATAATCAAACAAATTATTATATTTATTAATTCCATTTTATGTACAACTAATGTACAACCATACAGTTTGTATCCGGAATAAAGGACTATAAACATTTTGTTAATACTTCGACGACTGATCTTCAGACGGTAGATATTTTACTGACATTTTACAGCTCGAATTGAAACCTTTCTAAACAAATGAGGTTGGGTGACATTTGGTATTCGTGAATTATTATTACTCATAACTAGTATGCATAAATTTGTAAGGGTAGGTGGTTATTTATTACTCTTTCAAATGGTTGAACAGATTAGAATGAAATTTGGTACAGGGTTAGGTTATAATCCTAATCCTAAATAAATATATAGAACACTTTATACTGATTTACACGGGCAAAGCGTAAACAGCTAGTTTAGCATAAAGATCGCGTCGATTCTTTGATCGTTTATAAAAGGGACCTTAGGGATCTGGCAATGCGCCTCAGAGTGCACCATGTAATTTTTAGTGAAAAAAATCCCTTCAGCAGTTGGGTCTTCTTGATGGTTTTTTTTTACACAAAAGGTTAAGAATTCTATTGCTTTTTTTTTTATTTGAGATTATAACTAATATTTTTACATTTAGTTTTTTGTGAATCACATTATTCTATGAATATTTTTTTTCTTTCTAGGAGAAAGACATAACAATTAGTTCCTTTGGCTTGCCTTAGCTCGTCGTGTGGTTCCAGCATAGAATGGATAGCTTTTTTCCCGCATGTGTCGTTAGATGCGACTAAGGGAACTAAGGTATGGATAGGAGGGTCCCTCTTTAATTATCACCAAAACCAACTGGCAAAATCCCCAATAGAGGGAGGCCTATGTCCAGCAATCTATACTTATAATAAATCTGTAGAGAGGTCAAATCTGTACATGAAATATATTTCCAAAATAACTATCAGCGGGTGATTAGTGATCGATACTGATGCCGAAAATGCAATCAGTAAAATTTTTGTTTGTCTGTCTGTATGTTCGTTATAGAAAAAAAAACTACTTGCTACTTAAACTTGGTACAATTATTCTTCATACTCCTGGGCAGGTTATAGTATACTTTTCATTACACTACGATCAATAGGAGCAGAGCAGTGAAGGGAAATGTTAAAAATGTCCAGCCGTGTGCAGCCAGGACGGGCCGCTAGTGAACAGTTAATGGCTGAAAATAATGAAGAGTCGACTGACCGATCTCGTGGCGGCGGTGCTTGTCGCTGTAGTAGACGTAGGCGAGGAAGTGTCCGGCCAGCAGCGCGGGCGCGGCGGCCGGCAGCCGCGCGCGCCGCGACTGCTGCGCCGCCACCACGCCGCCCGACACCGCGTCCACCGCCCACGCCGACACCACGTCTGCAACCACGCGGCCAGCACCGATATCACTCTCAGCACTCCTCACGCGCTCAATTTACACCAGGGGTGCTCAAACGGTCAAACGCTTAAACAAACTGTTTGACCTTGATTAAAAAAATGCATATTATGTATCCATCTACGCAATATCTTGGCCACGATACACCAATACTCCTGATCACGTAGACAGTAAAAGCTAGTTAAAATATTTTTCTCAAACATGCTTGGAAATGTGAGCATTATTTTGACAATCTTCTTCGAGATAAATCAAAATTGCCGTACTGGCCAGATACAAAATCCATATTTGTCGTGTTTTGCGGCCAGATAAATTACTATGTAAACTCATATCTGTCCTGTAATTTAAAAATGGAATGACCTTTTACTTCGAAACATGGCTACCAAGGAGGTAACTAATAAAAGGTTTTATTTAAATTTCGAACTGACTTGCAAATAGAAAGCCGTTTATTGAAAAAAAAAAAAAAAAAACAAAGGAACATTATGGCGCGTGAAAAATTATTATTGTTCGTTATTCGTCATTGAACTTAAAAAGTAAAATTGTGTTTTTGATTTCCGCGCATTGTTTGAGAAAAGTACTATACAAGCCTTGGCCTCAACTAGGCATTGATGGACTCACGTATGTGTGCCTCGACTACGCCTCGGCTCACATTTGCACGTTCGTCCATCAATGCCTCAGTTGCTGGCCGCTGCAGTAATGTACTATATTGTAAAAGAGACAATAGCAGGCTGGAGGCACCTTTGTGCACGGGGTCGGTGCCCTGCGCGAGGAAGAGCACGAGGTTGGGGTTGAGGTACTTGTAGAGCACGCTGCGGTCGGCCAGCACGCTGCCCGCCGCCACGGCCTGCCCGCCCGCCGCCAGCGCGCGCACCAGCCGCGTCGTCCCGCCGCCACCGCCGCCGCCGCCCAGCGCCAGCGACCACGTCTGCTGCGCCACCACGCGCTGCCGGGACAACAACACACCAGTGTTACTCATATAGTGGCTGCTTTAATGAGATTACTTAACCCCTTGAGCGATTATACATCATACGCTGTACCAAACAAAAATGTGGTACCGCGTGCTAATGCAACAGCGTTTGTTGCATAACTCGAATTTGCAACGTCATCGTTTATCCAGAACCTCTAATCGAAATTTGGTAATTTCAAAAAACTGCGACGCAGTAGGTGTAGCGAGCTAGCCTAGCACCGATATATGAAAGGTACAAGATATCTTAATAAGGACAATAGAAGTCAAAATATTAACTTTTAGAAATTTTATCAGTTTTTATGTTTACCAGAGAGAGACTTTGTACAAAAGTCGTTTGCTTGGGCACCTCTGTTCCATTCGTGTATCTACCGTAAATCAATTATGTTTGCATGGTTGTGTTTCGGTTTGAAGATTGGGATATGGCAGTGAAATTTACAGGGTATGGAGGAATAAGACCTGAGTCCTCAGGATTGGCAACGCATGGGATCTCCCATTCTGGGCGAAACAGTATACTCTGTTATGTCCATGGTATGGTCCTGCTCATGTCTATAAGCGACGGTTAGCACATTCCATCAGGATGGCCGTCAGCTTATTTGGCATTCTAAGTTGTAAAAATAATTACACAAAAATCTACTGCACCAAGTTGGGTGTGAAATTTTCACTATTGCATTCCTGAAAGTCTTACTTTTAGAGTATTTGTGTAGAGAGGTTAACTTCATTGGTTTCCCTACTTCTGTAATCAGCGTACTAAATAGCAAGCAAAAGATTAATACTATATTAGTATGAAATCAAAACTCACCACCCCGTCGTATCTGAGCGCGTATCCCTGTACCTTGGCGGTCTCTTTCTCGGCAACGTACATATACATTTCCTGCACTAGCGGCGCCGCTGACGACGGCAACACCTGCCGATTAAATAAAAAATGTTATTCTAAGTCAATATCGATACGTGGGGGGAAAAGGGACTGTTAACAATGGAGTTTGACTGCCGTATTCCTAGCAATATGCCCTATTAGGTCGACCTCCACGTGGTTCCCCCTGGAAACCATCGTGAACAATTTTTGTTGAATTCATCACGATGGGCTAACTGACCTGCTTCATCTTCACTTATCATCTTTTACTGGTGCCCCGTCGGTGTATATATAATACATTTCTGTTTTGCCAAAGATTGACTGGGGGAGATTGCTACATAGTATTATGTCCGGCTTTTGTATCAGACTTTTTTTTGTAGTGTATAAATAATAAATAAATATATAAAAAATTTATATCTTTTGACCAGTTCGAAGACAAGTTGCAGATTGCTTTACGTTCCCATTATACGTTTACATTCGAGTGCTCTGGATTGTGCAACCAAAACCAAAAAAACCTGATTTTTGTCGGAAATTTATTCAAGATTTCAAAACCCTCTTTAATTTCCTTGTGTAATCAGCGATTACTGAGATATTGATGGTTAAAGACAAAAAGATCCTTTTTCATTGAAAGTCCGATATCTCAGCAAGAAGTAGTCGTATCGAACTTTGCAAAAAAGCAAATTAAAGCTGTATGAACATTCTATCCGATACATATAGTGGTTAAGTTAGAAATATTTTTTCCAAGTTCATAGAAAATTTTGAAAAAATTTTCGTTTCAGTATTCATTAGGATTGAGCAGAACACGTTGCTTAAACAATTTTTTCATCGTATGATCTCAAAACTAGAAACTTTAAGCTTTAAAATCCTTTTTTTTTAATTCCAATACGACCATTTTTAAAGGAAATGCCGCTACTTGAAAAACCTCAAAAAATTTGGCATCTTTTCTGATCCCTTAATTTTTTCCACTAGTGTACATATACAAAGTTCATTATTGCCGCTGTAAATTTATGTAGAATATTGACTCAAGAAATACACTATCAAATACAAAAAGAATTTTTCAAAGTCGATGTGTAGTCCCATCACACAAATTTGTTATTTATTATAATAGTACTTATAGAGAGATACATGCCTGCACGTCTTCGTGTACGTCCAGCAGTATCAGTGCGTGCAACTTATCCGCGTCGGCGCGCGGCAGCAGCGCCACCTGCAGGAGAGGCGCGTCTAAGTGCAGCCGCCGCTCGCCCACGGTCACGCCACGGATCGGGTTCAGGTTAATGATTAGCCCATTACCCGTCTCCTGCCAATGGAAATATTAAAAAAAATATTAAATAATATCTCATTTTGATAGTCCAAACCTCTTATTTGTAGAGCATGGACATTGATATTCGATAGTACCGAAAAACCGGTATTACGATTTTAGAACTTCCCGAATATCGATGTTGATACAACAAAATACCGGTTTTTCGGTTTTGGTAGAAAATTTTTTATAAATATTGGAAAACCGCATTTTGATTACCATTTTAGGTGGTGATGCTGATGTTCCTCAGATAATTTTAAGAAAAAGGCAATTTTAAATCAATACACAGATATGTGTATAAATAAGTCTATTCAAGTGTTTTGGATACTTAAAGCCGCTTGTTAATTTAATAATTATTAGCAATATGAGGTCCACTATGACACATTCTCTATGGATACCATCATCATATCAGCGGTTAACTGTCCACTGCTGAACATAGGTCTCCCCCTATTGAGGAGTTTTGGCAATAATTGCCCAGTGATTGGCAACCGCAGTTAGGCATTGCTAATGTTTTAAGAGGGACGCTGCTGCCCATCCTTCAATTATTAAGTTTTCTTATTCGCCTCTTACAACACCACGGAAACGAAAGAGATGGCCCATTCTATGCCATGACAACACGTCACACCACGGAATTTTACCTTCCAACTGAATTTTTTTTATTACTATAGTGGCCAACAAGCATACGACGACCCATCTGATGGTAAACGAGGTCATAATTGATTCTTGATGAACCGTCACGATGGGCCAACAGGCCTGGCCTCACCTATCACTCACTCATTGGTGCCCCACCAGAGTATACCGATATTCCGTCCCCCTATGTTGAAGCCGCATTGGCGGCGGTTAGTGTGGCGCACCTCGTGCTTCCCGACGACGGTGAGCACGGCGTCGTGCGGCGGATGGCGGGCGGAGCGGCGCGTGAATATAATGGCGGCGTCCGCGTCCAGCTGCGGCTCGTACAGCCGCCACAGGATCTCGCCAGACAGGTTGTCCATGCCGAATATCTGGGCACACCACACATACACGCTCATAGCATAAAAAATATGTTCGTAAACCTAAACTGTTCTTTTTGAAACATTTATCCGAGCATATCCATCTTTAATAAGTTCAAAAATAGAGGGCAAAAGAGGAAGAGGAAGACCGAGGAATAACTACATGGGACAGATAAAAGAAATACTAGGTGTCATGTCGTATAGGGAGATCAAGGAGATGGCCTGGAATAGAGCTGTCTGGAAGAAGATGCATGAATTAAATGTCGATGCAACGACAAGAGGAAACTCTTAAATGAAAAAAAAAATCCATCTTTATAGCCATATTTACCAGAGGGAGACTTTGTACAAAAGTCCATTGCTTGGGTACCTCTGTTCCATTCGTGTTTCTACCGTGAAACAGTTGTGTTTGCATGGCTGTGTTTCGGTTTGAAGGGTGGGATATGGCGTGAATTTACTGGGTACAGAGGAATAACCCAAGAGTTATCATGGGCGAAACAGTACACTCTGTTATGTCCATGGTACTGCTCATGTCTATAGGTGACAGTTTCCACTTTCTATCAGGTGGGCCGTCAGTTTGTTTGCCATTCTAAGTTGTATAAAAAAAAACCATCTTTATATCCCGCTGAGTAATTTGAAACAATGCATATGCAAAGCAAGAATAAAACAATGTTTGCAAGTTATTTATTAATACATAACAATTTTAAATGGCATATACCAATAAATAAAAATAATATCATCGTCTTCCTACCCTTATCCCAATTATTATTTGGGATCGTCGTAACATCTTTTTATTCATATTACAAAAAAAATTTGGCTTATAGTTTTACGACCGGCCGCTTGCCTGACATCAAGCTTCTTTGGGAATAAATAAATATAATATATTATACAATATTTGTGATAGTAATTTTACCCAATCAAATTTTAAAAATTGTAAATTATTTTTTAAAAGAATAATTTAGTAAGGATAATTTTTATAGATAGATAGCGTGAATTTACTGGGTACAAAGGAATAACACCTGAGTTTTCAGGAATGACAACGCGTGGGGGGTATCACGGGCGAAACAGTATACTCTGTTATGTCCATGGTACTGCCCATGTCTATAGGCGACGGTTACCACTTTCCATCAGGTGGGCCGTCAGCTTGTTTGCCATTCTAAGTTGTATAAAAAAAAGTTTTTTATGAAGAATGATGTAATAATCCAAAGGTTGCCTGGAAGAGATCGCTCTTAGCGATAAGGCCGCCTATTATTTCCTCAGTGTAATATTTTTTCTTGTAATTTTCTGTATCTACGATAAGTTTACTACTGTAATCTTTTAGATAAAGAACAATAAAGAGTATCTATCTATAAGTTTAACCACTAACCTTGCCAACATCAGTGACAAGAACAATAATCTTGTGCAGGTTGAAGTAGTCCCTGACTAGTGGCTCGGGCTCCGCGCCCGCACTCCTCTCACCCTGCAGCCCCTGCAGCAACGCCTGCAACTGCTGTAGCTGCGTTTGCAGCCTCCGGGAGAACGCCGACCAGATAGAACCTGGACACGAATAGAAAAACAAATCCTGTTAATATTAAATTCACGTTGCAACGCGTAGCAGGATCATTATATTTAAAAAATGGCAACATTTTACTCTTACAGTCGAGATTATCTCGAATTATATCTTGATTTGTGCTGAGAATACGTAAATTGAGCAAATGACGTCGAATATCAAATCATTTATTCGAATATAATATAAATGCTTAAGACTTGACATAAATTTGCTATTGATATAACATATGGAATGTAAATTGTATTTAATTAATAATAATAATGTAATTGTTAATTTTATTTGACGATATTGAATATGTACTTACACACATTTATTGATTTGACTTGATAATTGTTTTTTCTTTTTTTATTATCCTATAATCTTAATAATCACTAAGTTAAATTTGTATCCTTCTTTAAGCAATAAATTAGATTTGTATGCCTACAATTTTAAGGCAATTAAACAAATGCCAAAAGGTTTTGTCACATGGCCCTTATAATGACAAATGTCTGTTTAAAGCAAATAAATATTTCATTTCATTTCATCGAGATTTTATAGTAGAAATAGGATTCGAATCATAATCTCTATTTCGAGATTATCTCTAAAGAAACGAGAATTGGCCTCCTGTTCTAAGGTCAATTAGACGGGCGGGATTAATATAAAGGAAAAAATATAAAATTTAAATATATAAATAAAAAGTGGACAATTAACGGCTGATGATGAAATCAAAATTAAAATTTTCGAGATAGGTTTAAAGAACGACGTCTCAGAATCGACTTCAATGGTAGTATGGTTAAAATAATATCTCTTTGGACAGTTGGTGATGAGACCAAAAATTGTTTAGTAGTTATTTATTTATTTGATCAACTGGATGAGCTTTACAGTCTTCCAATGCGCTCACCCAAGAATGCATCAATACAATAACACATACTTTACAATTATAATTAAAATTAATAATATTAATAAGATTAAAATAATGTACAATCACACAACAATAATAGAAGTAACATTTATATCTGAACATAAACATTCTATGGTCATCCGACGAAACTCCAGCAAGTTGGGAGATAAATACAATTAATAGTGGATATTGGCTTAAAACATCATTGAATAGTTCGAAAAAGTAAGAGAGAGAGGGGAGATTACTTGGGCATCTCTTTTTTTTTTTAACGGAACATCAAATAAGTGCAGTCTACATGTTCGCACGTATTTTATAATGAGGCACATATATCTAGTTTGCAAATGGTGTGTTAAATTATTTATTAGTACAGAGAGATAGCTGGTTTTGTACAGTATTTAGCTCAACAACAAAAGCATTTAATATGCTATAAAATTAAGTAATTAAAAACACATTAACTGAAATGTTTTTAAATTATTCTAATCATGAAAGATATCACCAAATCTACTATATACTTACTGTACATCTTGGCAGCTAAAAATAAAACGTAATCATTACATTTCATAAGCAATTAAATTGAACATCAAAATGTTTGGAAACTTAATGATTATTATTTAATTACTTTTATTTACTTTATTTAATTCACTTTCTACAATAATTTCAATCATTAAATATAATTTTGTCTTTTTTTTTTAATTATTTAATTATAAAAATGTAAATAAAACATTAGTGATAAATTTATTCCAATAATAAGCCTTTATGTCGAATTAAATTTAAAAAATTTGTAAGAATTTGTTCTGCAAAAACCTATAACTAATATTGTAATAAAATTCATTATGAGACAAATACTGGAGTTGCAGTTTTACAATTGATGCAGTTATCGCGTAATATATAAATAAATAATATAAAAATATAAAAAAATTTTTTTTGTAATTTTTTAAGTCTTAAAAGTATTAATCGATATGTCATTTACACTAAATACTCACCCTCTTTCTGATCGAACTCTGATTCAATGGCAGCGTCAAGATCTGAGACGGGCAGGTCGACGAATTCCACGGCCACTACGTTAGCTAGTGCCTCCTCCCGCGTCCACAGCAAACGACCTGTACATACGTACATAAATTACAGGGTATGAAGAGGAAAATGTATGTCTAGAGTGGAAAAACTAAATTATTTATTTAAATTGCTATTTTATTATTATATTTAAATTGTTTATATTTATTATATATTTATATAATTATTTATATTTAAAATATTATTTTATTATTTAAATTATTATTTATTTATTAAAATTATTATTTACTTATTAAAATTATTATTTACTTATTAAAATTATTATTTACTTATTAAAATTATTATTTATTTATTTATTTTAAATTAGTGAGGACTAGTGGCCTATTAATATATCCTATCAGGTCGTAACGAAACCATTGTATGAATTCATCACGAGCTAACTGACCTGCTTTCATCCTCATCTATTATCACTCACTGGTACTCCGCTAACATATACTGATAGCAAGCAGGGTTACTATTCCATTTTCATCCCATAAAAAATTTCAATTGGAGCTAATTATACAGAAAACAGCCATGTACACTTTCTTTTTTATTCTTTTCATTTGTAATGAGTTGTACGATGGTGAAAATGATATAATAAAAATATGGCGCTAATCTTAGGGTTGTAAGTAGCCACTTACCTCCTTGTTGCATGAGATGCGAGGCGTCATCAGCCCCGGTCACCAGTACCCTACAAACGTGGTTCTCTCTTGCTGCTGAACACATGGCAGCAGATATCTCTGGCTCAGGTATATGTAGGTCCTTGTTTGAACACTGGATTTCGGGTACTTCTTGGCCTGTTGATACACTGTGAGCTGTTAAAAAGAAACCCTGAAAACCAAAGGATCATATTAGTATGATAGTAACAATAAACTATATTCTAATATAGTCAATAAAAATAAGTACATATATTTGTTAGGTACATATAACATATATAGATAGACTACAATGACCATTCACCATCAGATGGACTGTACGTTTGTTTGTCACCTTCATGGTGTAAAAAAAATGACATAGGAGCACTTCCTATGGTTATAGCATCCACACCCCATAGACAAATATCTTATTCAATCCCATTTGAAAATTCCTCCTTTTATTGTATAAGAAGGTCCCAAATTTGAATTATTTATATTCCTTTATCATACTTTGCAATTGCAAACCTGGGAAATAATTTGCATGAGGAAACATACACACTACAATGAGTTATATATTACACTATCAAATATATAAAAAATAAGCAATAATAAGTTGCAATATTTAAAAAATCATTAAAACTAAAAACAAACATACATAAGATCCTATATATATGGAGTAATAATAAAGGTAAAGATAGGTACCAAATCAGATAATGTATGAAAACTTATAAAACACCCACCTTCGTTTCATCACTCCAAGTCTGAAGAAGTAATGGCCCACTAGAGCTGTCCACAATGGTCGCACTAGCCGCCTGATCGCCAAGAGACACATCCAGAAGTTGAAAGTCGTTATTCTTCACTATTACAATCTTTTTATCATTGACAATAAATCCTGGTAAGATACTGTTAGCATCTAGAGGCCTAAGGCTTACTTCTTCTCCTGCATTAGTTATATATTTTGATAGAGGCTTGCTTATGAGTTGAACTGCATTAGAGGTAACATCAAGTGAGTATATAAGATCTTTTCCTACACATGTGTAATATGGCGCTGTCAGAACACATCTGAAAAAATGTTAAAATTGTATTTTAAATTTGAGCCTGCCTTTAATATACAGCATTGGTTTGCTTGGTAATCTCTTAAGATTTGAAAGACAGTTTACGTGAATCATAGTACGAGTCATAATTACACTTTAAATTACATGATATACTTAGTAAGTATTGGAAAAATTACTATAGTAAACTTGTATAAAATTACCAAGTAAAAAATAAAAAAACTCAACATTATGGATATGAAATTAGGAACTAATTTAGTAGCCCATATGTGTGTAAATTTCTTGTGGAATTAAAATATCATTTAACAAGTTTCTATGTTACAAGGAAGACAATTTCACCTTTATAGCAAATTTACTATGTAGGTAAAATAGCTCTATTATATAATTCTTTCATCTTTAAATAGTGGCCATGTAAATATATTTTAATGTAATAAATATATTTTAATGTAATAAATAAATTTTAGTGGATCAATTTGTGACCCTTAATCAGACTCGATCTTGCGTCACAGCCGCTCATGATTAAGGAACATGAATTGATCTCGAAATTAGTCTTTCTCAATTTAAGTGTCATTAGATCTTTCTCGAAAGACACTCAAATTAAAATAGTAGTTATTACATTGAAATAAAATATATTGTTCAGAATAAAGAGTTCTCACCCGTCATTAGTCCACACAGCTGGCAACTTAGAAGTGGACCCACGGTTTTGTCCTGTTATTAAGTTGTACATGGTGACCTCAATGTGGGATCCATAGATGGGCACCATGTGAACCAACATGTTGTGTTGCACCCACCATTCTGAGAAGTCTGCATGGTCGTCATTCTGGAGGGTAAGGGACCATTCCCAGAGAAGAACACCTGGAATATACCACAATTATACTCGGAGTATATCCATTTATATAAAACAATACTAGCAAAACAAACATGTTTGTAGCACTGAATTGTAAGAAAAAAATAGTATAATGACAGACTCACAGATATAACATAACCCTACTATATATATGTGAGTTTGTAAAGATGACTGGATGTTTATTACTTAATTACACTTAAATTGCTAAATGGACTTTAATGAAATTTGGTATACTAGTAGGTTTGATTTGAGCAGGCAAAGCCACAAAATAGTATTAACATAAATGCTAACTGGCACATCAATTATTTGTAAATTAAAAGAAATTCCTGGCACTATACATACACTATTAAATTTAAACTCAGCAAGTGAAACAGTTACATATTTTTTTAGATATGTATGTAATCTTTCAAATAAATTTCTGTTCTGTAGTAATGGCTGTAGTTTTTTGAGGTTATATGATCATAATAAGGTATTTTTCTTATTATTTTTTTTTTTATCTTTCAGACCTCTTTATCTATAATCAGGTCTAGTGTATACCAATTAAGGATTGTTAAGAGATGAAACACATTCAGTGAGATGCCATTTCAAATCAATTACGCTGGCTAGATGAGGCCTTTTCAAGTTTAAATAGGCAGTTATTTGCACTTTTTGTTTAATAAAGTATGGGTTATGTTTTCCTTTATAATTTCTAGAACACACATGCATAGGCAATATACATCAGTTGGATGAAGCTGCAGATTACTTTGTACAACTATTATACTTATAATTACCTGTAGCTGAATCCCACCCTCTGACCAGATATGGATTGGCTCCAGACACAGTCACCACTTTCTCTGTTACGTGGAGGAGCTGAAAGTTGCCTGTGGAGGCACTCTCCAATACATGCCTCCATACTACTTGACCTGATAAAAATTAAAATTAATTAATTGTATTTTTTTTATAATAGAAAGGTGGTAAACAAGATTTCAGCCTATCTGATAGTAAAGAATCATTGGGTGGAGGGATTGTCAGTAATGTGGACTATGAGTCCAATTGCAAGCAGTATACTCTGTCAGATCGACCTTCATGTGGCCCCCTCATGGAAACTATCATGTTGAATTCCAGGTGTATTTTTCACGATTGGCTAACTGACATACCTTTTCATTCTTATCTATCATCCCTCACTGGTGCCATGCCAGCATATACTATTAGAGCAGGCGGGGTTACCATTCCATTATCATTCATTAAAAAAATGGTCACTGTAGCCTATGGACACCTGCAACACTAAGATGCATGCAACCATGCAATGCAGAAGTATGTAACCATTTAGACTCTAGCATGTGAGGATAATTTTTTTAGTTATTACTGTCCTTTTTTTGTTAGCAACACATGAGAGTTACTATAGGCTTCACCATATATTTTTCTATGTCGATAGTGCTGTACATCTATAGATGATAGTTACTACATTCTATCAAGTGAGACGTTCAAAGTAACACAAGAAAAAGATTTTAATTATTGGAAGTATTATTTGAATAATGAATTATTGTATCAAATAAATACTTCAATTATTTATTATTGTAATGATGATTATCAAATACATAATAAAAACAGGTAAATCATTTAAAATAATATTTGTGAATAGAAAATAAAACAATGAAACAGTGTATATACAATGTATTAATGACAAATCTCAGCATCATTATTTGACAAAACTTTGTAATAGTATGTATACTATCAATGTAAAAAAATGTTTTGGTTTATTCACTTACTCATTCAATAAATGTATAGCGTAATATTGGTCTAAATGTGTGCAAACAGACCAATTCAACAAATTAGAAGCGGATATATTAATAAAATCAATTACTTACCAGTCTTTAAGTTTAATGCGGCTAAAACATTCTCTTCGGTAGCGACAATTATTTTTTTAGCTGTTGAAACTGTATCGAACTGTGAGAATTTTATTCTTCCCACATAAGTTTGACGCCTGAAAACGTTAATTTCATTAAAAATTCACTCAATTTGAGCCATTCATGACATGTATATTATAACCTATTACAAAGTATTACCAATCAAATTTTCCTATTTGATCCTCATAAATACACACGGAGAGGTTTATTAAACTAAAGAACACTATAAAGAAGTTTATACTGTTCAAAAATTTTAATAAACCCAAAAAATTGGGTTTAAAATTATTTGACAGAACCCCCATAGTTAGTTGACTGAAAATTTTGGGTTTGCTACTTTATGTCAATGAATTCTTCTATGACGTGTACCATTGATTTATTGTGTTTCTACTATACTAGTTCAATTAGCCTTTTTTCTATATTACCCATTATATCAATACAACTAAATGTTACATTAAAAATGCTATTTACTATTATTTGCATGTAATACTAGCTTATTATTAGTCTAATGGAAAAATAAATTAATGCATTACTTCTGTAATAAAAATACCAAAAGGAGAATCTGTTTAAACGGGCAATATTCGTTATGCTTTACGTTCCATTACAACGCAGAAACTAATATAAAGCAAAATAAAATGATATTTTCCATATGTACCGTTTCAAACCCCAGCTACAGTCAGATTCGAACTTCCGACCTTTGGGATTTTAATAACAAACCAACACACCTTTGGGATTTTTTTCTGTCGCACGGAGTATAATGAAAACTCAGTAAATTCATTTACTCAGTATTTTCACTACTTTATTATTTTTATCTTTGAAACCAAAAAACACTAAAAAAAATGTTTATTTTTCATTTTGATACTTTGAATTTCTATTAAGAAATTGCAAAATTTTTATTAAAATTAGAGGATGAAAAATATGTCATACTTCTATATTAGGTACTTACGTATTCGAAAAATTACAAGCACGCGGAATTTGAAAGCAAAGTTTATGACCAATTTATACGATTATTTAAATTGTTATAAAATAGACTCTTATAAGAATTGATACATAAAATAAACAATATAAATAATATTACATACACATCACCTAAGATTTATAAAGAAAATCAGAACCCTCCTGTTAGTTTCCCGCGTTTATTAAAGCTAGGCGATAAAGCAAATGGGCTATAAGACCATTCAATGAATGCATGGAAGCATGCAACTAGGTCGCATGCATGTTTTCACCTCCACTTTTATTCAACCCTCCAGGTGAGGGCGGACACGGGCAATGCGTTTTTTTCTACAGGCGCGACAAAACAGCGCGATAAATTGTAAAAAAAATATTCACACTATTATTTTTATAACTCCACCCAACAAAAAAGAAATCAAGATTAAAATTTTATCTATAACTTTACCATGGCCACACCTATGAAAATACTTTAGAATACTTTACTCTTTGTTGTAGTAGTGTGTTTTTTTTTATATTAATAAGTGATTTCTGTCGCTATCTTTGAGGCGACAACTTTCCAATCTTTTTGTATTTATATCTGTAAAATTTTACTTGTGCTTTTTTTTAATATTATATATGTATATGTATGTATATATATATGTGTGTGTACATTAACTATAGTAAAGTCCGTGTTATGTAGTCAATCCATGTATTTAGTGCCAGTGTAGTAGTGTGTTTGTGTTATAGACGTTTATGGTCCTTGAAAGATCATTTTAATTTCATTCTAATCAGTTTCCATTATTAATACTCAGTTATAGTTACACCTCTGCTTAGAGAATATAGACTTATTCAACAGTATACTCTATTATGTGCATGGTACTGCTCATGTCTATAGGCGACGGTTACCATTTTCCATCAGGTGGACCGTCAGCTTGTTTGCCATTCTAAGTTGTATAAAAAAAAAAAAACACTATACAACTCTACATATGAATGAATGAATGAATAAATATTTATTTACAAGAAACATGGTAAAGACATAGATGTTAACAATAGGTATAGGTCCACATATTTCACAAAAAGTATAAATATTGATTGAATTAAGCATTAAAACATTTAGTAATGTCAATAATTCTTATATAAAAGTATCCAAATATAATTTCACGACTGGACTCAATCATTATAGAATCTAATGTCCTTAGCATCATATCAGCTATCAACTGTCCATTGCAACATATAAGCCTTCCCCTTAGGAGGGGAGTGGTCTTGCCAGTAGCTGCCTGGCAGGCGGATTGGCAACAGAAATTGTTAGTTAGTTAATATATAAAAAAGTATATTGAAACATGATGAAATATGCTGAGTTGTCAGAAATAATAATATTAGTTAATTTTAGACTTGATGTTTACATATCGTCATAGTCGTAGAATACCAACGGATCTTTATATATAATATTTATCAGATCCGTCAGTATTCTACGATTATGACGATATATTTTAAATACACAATCGGGACTCAACGCGATGTAACAGCTTTTATAGCTAAATAGTACCTACATACCTGTTTCTTTATTGCCAACATTTCGACGTGGATTGCACCACGTCATGGCACGACAAGCTTTTACATCGCATGCAGTCCTGTTTGTGTATTTAAAACAATAACATTAATAGAATATGCGAAAACCGCTCAAGCCTTTAAAACTTTAAAGACTGGGATATAAATTCCTAAAAAATATAAAACAGAACCTCCATAGTTCTTGACCCTGATACGTACCAATTTATAAAAGTGAAGGCGATTATATCTTGTCTTTACCATAAAAGGCACAACATCCTTTTATAAACGAGAAATCTCGTATATTGTGTATAAATATAACTTTGTAATATAAATATGCTAATAATGAATATTATGATATTAAGCAATTTTTGGAGTCTATTAATGAATTTTTATGTACTAAAGGTCCTAAAGAGTATTAGACTTAGAGGACGTTGTTAGGTGAGACGCCGTTATCAAAAATTTGCTTTCATCATCATCATTTCAGCAATTATTCGTCCACTGCTGGACATAAGTTTCCCCCAAAAACTGCCATAAAGAACGGTCCTGAGCCACCTGCATTCACCGACTTCCTGCAATGCATTTCAGGTCGTCACTCCATCTAGTGAGGGGTCGTCCTACGTCCTACACTGCGTTTGCCTGTACACTGTCGCCACTCAAATACCTTTCTTTCCTATCGGTTGTCGGTTCTTCAAACTATGTGACCAGCCCATTGTCACTTCAGCTAGCTTATCCTTTGCTTATCCTTATTAAAAATTTGCTCTACCACAGTAAAATCTGGTGACCTTATTTTTTGTTTGTTTAGGGAGGCGCCATAAACATCTTATCCAGGAAGATAGATAGATAAATAAACACTTTCTTTGAGTCATTTATGACACATACAAATTAACGACTGAATTCATACAATCAATAAAAAATAAAAGATAAAATACAAAAATATGTTTAGGCCGTGTGTGTCGCAATGATCCCACTGTAACATACATGCATGCTGGTTTGAAAGACTCATGATTTCTCCCTCTTATAGTATTCTATAAGAGGGAGAAATCATGAGTCTTGTCACATAGAAATTCAAAAATAGAAAAAAATATTTATTAACCATTTGAATAGTGAATACAGGATAGGACTTCCACTCAGCATATGCTGTGGTATTCGACAATATCACAATACTTATTTTCAGTGATGTCACCAGAGCAGGAGGCGAAATGGATTGTTAGCAATGGGATCTAACTGACCCGTTGCTAGCAATATACCCTATCAGATCCTCCATGCGGTTTTCACTAGAAACCATCGTGGTTAATTCTAGTGGAATTCGTCACGATGAGCTAACTGACCTGCTATCATTGTCACCTATCATCCCTCACTGCTGTTCCGCCAGCGTATACCGATAGCACAGGCGCGATTACCATTTCATTATTATCTATTAAAAAGAAAAACATGAGAAAGCGCAGTATTCATACATTTTAACAATATATATTAGTTTAAGTCTACCCGATTTTTTTTTATAGGTGATATTGAAATAGTGATCCCACCCGCGCTTTCGGTATACACCGGCGGGGTATCAGTCAAGGATGATAGACGAGGATGAAACAGGTCAGTTAGCCCATCGTGACGAATTCAACGAGAATAGTTCACGATGGCTTCCAGGGGGAACCACGTAGAGGTTGACCTGATATAGCTAGGAATGGGGCTGTCAAACTCCATTGCTAACAATCCCAATTACCAGAGGGAGACTTTGTACAAAAGTCGATTGCTTGGGAACCTCTGACCCATTCGTGTTTCAACCGTGAAGCAGTTGTGTTTGCATGGCTGTGTTTCGGTTTGAAGGGTGGGATATGGCGTGAATTTACAGGGTACAGAGGAATAACACCTGAGTCCTCAGGAATGGCAACGCATGGGGGGTATCGGGGTGAAACAGTATACTCTGTTATGTCCATGGTACTGCTCATGTCTATAGGCGACGGTTACCACTTTCCATCAGGTGGGCAGTCAGTTTGTTTGCCATTCTAAGTTATATAAAAAAAAAAGAAATCCCTTCCCTCCAGTCTACCCGATTATGACAAGTAATATACTTTAACTAGGTACATACCTCGCTACTGTTGCATTTTCGATTGCATCTAATTGTAATAGATTACAATAATAAAATGCACGCAATGTAGTAAACTATAGGGATTTATAATCGATAAGACGAACATGGAATGTTGGAACTTACATATTTGTATTTCCCATTTCTAAAGTTAATTGAACAGCAATCATAAGTTTTATAGCCAATTGGCTGTAGTTTTTCTTTTTTAATGGTTGACAATGGAACAGTAACCCTAACTACGCTAACGGTATACGCTGAGGGGAAAAGGATTGTTAGCAATGGAGTTTGACAGCCCCATTGCTAGCAATATGCCCTATCAGGTCAACCTCCACGTGGTTCCCCTTGGAAACCATCGTGAATAATTCTCGTTGAACTCGTCACGATGGGCTAACTGACCTGTTTCATCCTCACCTATCATCCTTCACTGGTGTCCCGCCGGTGTATACCGATAGAGCGGGTGGGATTACTATTTCATTATCACCTATAAAAAAACGGTATACGCTAGCAGGACACCAGTGAGGAATGATAGGTGAATTGAATAAGCTGGTCAATTAGCCCATAGTGCTATTTTTTAATGGATGATAATGGAATTGTAACCCCGCCTGCTCTATCGATATACACTGGCGGGGCATCAGTGAAGGATGATAAGTGAAAATGAAAGAGCAGGTCAATTAGCCCATCGTGATAAATACACCTGGAATTCAGCACGATGGTTTCCAGGGGGACCTGCGAGGAGGTCGATCTGGCAGGGTATATTCCTAG